GCTGCTGCTGCTTCTGCTGTTGCTGCTTGGCTGCGGCTGCTGCTGCTCTGCTGCTTGGCTGCTGCTGCTTGGCTGCTGCTTGGCTGCTGCTGCTTTGCTGCTGTTTGGCTGCGGCTGCTGCTGCTGCTGCTTGGCTGCTGCTGCTGCTGCTTGGCTGCTGCTTGGCTGCTGCTGCTGCTGATGCTGCTGCTTGGCTGCTGCTGCTGCTGCTGATGCTGCTGCTGCTGCTTGATAGCTGCTGCTGCTGCTGCTGCTTGATGGCTCCTGCTGCTGCTGCTGCTGCTACTGCTGCTGCTGCTGCTGCTTGGTAGCTGCTGCTGTTGCTTGGTAGCTGCTGCTGCTGCTGCTGCTGCTGCTTGGTAGCTGCTGCTGCTGTTGCTTGGTAGCTGCTGCTGCTGCTTGGTAGCTGCTGCTGCTGCTGTTGCTTGGTAGCTGTTGCTGCTGCTTGGTAGCTGCTGCTGCTGCTTGGTAGCAGCTGCTGCTGCTGCTTCTGCTGCTTGGTAGCTGCTGCTGCTGCTTGGTAGCTCCTGCTGCTGCTGCTGCTTGGTAGCTGGGGCTGCTGCTTGCTAGCTACTCCTGCTGCTGCTTCTGCTGCTGCTTGGTAGCTTCTGCTTGCTGCCGCTGCCGCTGCTGGTTAGAGTTATTGTTGTTGTGGCTGTTGCTGCTGCTGCGGCGGTTGCTGGGGTGGTCGTGTGTTGCCATGTGTTGGTTGTTTATTTGCCTAGCTTTCGCCACCCCCCTCTGGGCCACAAGTGATGCCTCTTTGGCCCACCATCAACGACCAAGTGACCAAGTTGTTTCATCTCCTAGACCTCTTCTACGGGCGCGATACCCGTTGCAATGCAACCATTCCTTCCCGTCGGCATCCGGTGGAAGAACAGCGGCACCTCGGCACTGCTCGCTCTGCTCGTCTCGTTCTTCCCCTCGGAACTGGAGGTTGGAGTCGACGTTTGGCGAATTCGTGGAAGGATTGGACAAGCAAGCCGCGAGCTTTCCGTTGACTCTCAAGGAGCGAAGTGGAACTCATGAATCGAGACCACGTCGATGAACATATCGATGAACACGTGTAGGAGGTGAAGGGGGGTGAAGGTTGACACTGTTTTGGATGTTGGTTTTAGCAAAATTCTGACTGCCCGGAAGGACCTAAAGCTAAAAGAGAAGAGAATCCAAGAAGAGCTCGATGAGGATGGAAAGTTCCCCTTCGACCTCACGGATGGAAGGACAGTCAGAGCGAACAACGAGAGCCAGTGCAGCCAGAGCGATACCATGCCATACCACATAAACATAAGTTAACATAACAGAATGTAATGAACATACACCTACAGATATGATATATATATATATACTACGTGTAGAAGCGTGAAGCGCATTGCTTGCTTGTCACCGGACTCCGTCGCAAACCTCGCCACGCCGACGTCCAGAGGATCGGCCACATCACCGTCACGCCCGGGTGGATGGGAACGGTTGAAGTAGTGGCGAGCCAGGTGGGGGAAGGACGAGGTTTGGATGGAGGTTTTTGCGGGGAGTCATTCCTTGTGCCAAACGGGGGGGGGCGTTGGTTTCATAACATTATATGTAATTTTGGTGATGGGTTTGGAGATGTTTAGTTTCAACCCGTTACGAGAGTTTTCTTATTTTTCAGGTTAGTTGAAAGTACCAACCAGCAGACCTGTTTCCTTTTTTCCACCTAGAGCCCGGCATTGTGGTGCCCAGCGTCACCCTTCCTGAAATACTGAATGGGGTGAATGAGTGTGGTGGGATGTTTTGGTTGTTTGAAGGTGCATTCATGTGCATTTACTTTGAGAGTGGCCGAATTGGTTCAGTGTTGCTTGACCAAATTCTTTTTGGGGGGATGTGTGGTCACGTTCTTCCGCAGCTTGCGACAGAATTACTGGGGCTTTGAAAACGTCATCGCATGCGTTGCATGGCGCCATCCGTGCACAAGCCGGCGCAGGTCGTGCTGAACTTTAGTTTTAGCGCGATGAAGGCCATGAACAATGCCATGAAAAAGGACTCTGGGGCAAGATGCGGAGAGGGAGATAGGCTGCTTCCCATCTTCCCTACAAAACCTTCGATGGAAGATATCACTGCCTGATTTTGTATCATGTCATGTGGGTGGGATGGTTGGTGGTGGGTGTTGGTATGTTGGTTGATTGGTTGGTGAATGGGTGGGTTGGTGGGTTGGTGGGTGTGTTGGTATGTTGGTTGATTTTCCATGTTCATTCTGACAGGTTTAATGGATTTGTTGATTGGCAAATTTGATGTACTAATACCCGGGCACTCCATGTATCCTATGTTTGCATTGACCCCTGGAACCACCCCGATGTAGGCAAATGTGTCAGTCCCATGAAGTTTTTGGGATGGGTTTTTGCCCCGCCACCATCATTAGTGCCCCGGATAGTCAGATGAGGAGCAAACGGGAGCGATGACCGGGTTTGGAGGTATATTATTTGTTCAACCAAAGCCGGTCTACAAATTTTGGGTTTCGCAGTGCCTCATTTGGTGGTGGGATCCTCAACCAATTTTGGTGGTTTCACAAGATTGACACGTGTTTGATTGACACGTGGTGTCCCAATTGATGCAGGATCTCCATGAACTCCGCATCTACAGGGTGTTCTCATCAACACTCGGATTTGCTGTCCAGGAAATAGGAAAAAGTAATATACAGTAACTAGGGTCTTGCAGGACTCGGATGATGAGGAGGAGGTCGCGCCAAGGGCGGCACCGCCAGCGGATGTGCCACCTAGGTGCGAATCTCACAGCGGTCACTGCATTGTATACGACTCGGTCTCGGTCAATGATTTCATATGATTTCTTATTTAGTGAGTGCTAGCATGAAGACAGATGTAACCAAGAGATCTCAAGAGCCTTTGGTTTGTAGCAATGTTGATCGGAGAAGTTCAAAGAGAAACTGCAAACACCACGACTGATTGGCAGATTGACAACCATCTTCTACATCTACCCTCTAGGCCCTAGCATTCAAGCATCCAGATCGCAGAGGCACCGTATTTCTGCCAGCGCCAGGTTCTGCCAGAGGCACTTCACCTCTCAGCAGCGGGAGAAGATCGACCCCGTGATGCGGCCATGCCAGAAGTGCGGCGCGCAGATTACGAGCACCTATGCGAGCATGACTTTGTGTCCACCCTGCTCCAACACGGAGGAGAGTTGCATGATCTGTGGCGACCACGCGCCCGTCGCCAGCAACTACATCCCGCCGAAGACCTTGAGTTCCCAGCCGCCGACCATGCCACCTGGCATGGTCTACGCCATGCCCGACAAGCCGCCTGGGAGCACCTTGCCGCCACCGCCACCCAGTGCTCAGTCGCCCTCGCGCATGAGCGCCCAACGCGACTTCGACTGGCGTGGCAGCCCCAGCGCGCGGCCACCGTCCCCGCCGCCGCCGCCACCGTCCAATCGGAACCTGGGACGCATGGGAGCGCCAGGCCGCGTGCAGCGGCACGAGTCGTGCGGCACGAGGGGTCAGTGAAGCAGAAAGGTTGGAAAGATGAAAGCTCATCATGAGGAAAGAAGAAACCCAAGATAATTCAAGAGGCTTTGCAACAAGAAGGAGGGTTTTGTGTTCAGACCTCGTGCATTATCTTCTTCATCGCCCATAGGGAAATACTAGATGTATATATATATAATTCCTTTGGACCCACCAAACTACCCACCAATTCAAGTTCGAGGATCGTTGGGGCGTCCATTCATTTTTTTGTGCTGTTTTTTCAGTAACGGACAAATGGCAGGTGGTGGGCTGCAGCCGGAACACCGCTCCAAAGAGAGTCTTCGAGCCGAGCGATCGCGACAGGAGCACCTTGGCCGGGTTCCTTTTTGGGCATGTGAAACGTACACTCCCTGAAATGTGTCATGGAAGTGGGAAACCACATCTTTGTAGGGGAAAATGGTCACCCAAGAAGCCGTTTTGGACATGTTCGGCAGGTGGGACGCAGATCGGATAGATCCAGACACCTTTCTGACGCATGTTCCAGCCATGTTCCAGCCCGTTTGCCTCAGGAAAGGCCCTAGCGGCCTCTTAGCCCAAGCCGAGCTGCCGGCCGCGCGCGCGGGAGCTTCCGATGTCCGCGCTGCCGAGCGGTCGCAGGTCTCGAGACCCGGGACGTGGGAGGTGATGTACGGCTCAGCGAGTAGCCAACTGGCGCCTCGGCTGCTTTGACCGGGGTCCACGGTGATTTTGCTTTGCTCCGAGTAGTATGGCCTTTTGTTACTACTAGTAAGGCACTTGTTGCTAGAAAAGATGCACTTTGTTCCTAGTAGCTTATTGTTTCTATTTTTTGGGGGGGTGCAGTTCTGGAGAGAAAGACGAGTGCTGGGGGAACCACGTGTGGCACCTTCGATGGGGGCACCAAATCAACAAGTTCGAAGTACCCAGCCGTGGTAAGTGGTGAGTGGTGAGTGAGTTCCTGTTGTTTTAGCAGGGAGTTGGGACAGGTCAAGCCTGCAAAATAGTGACTCACTCACAGACTGGTGGAATCCCGGTTGAAGCATGGTTTTGTTGGAGATGTTGGAGCTTTGATGCATTGAACAGACTTTCAAAACTCCAGCTTGGCACAAGGAGTCACAAAGGATCGCGATTTTGTTGAAATGTATTGACATCAATATCCATGCTTGCCAGTTGCGGGTGTCCTTTCGCCGGTGTTTGGACCTCTCCTTTCCCATCAGCGTCGTCACCCCTGGGAGCCTTGGCGACCGATGGACCGATGGACCGAGGATGGGATCTTGGACTATCTGGGTAACCTGCCAGCCTTGGATCTGCACCTCGGTGGTGTGCTGAAGCCGATGCCGTCAGTGGATCCCAAACCACTTTTTTTTCACCAGGGGGATGCTCGTTCGGTCTATGGCTTCAGTCGAATTGGAACCGGTTGCCAGCGAACTAGTAGTTTGCCTCAATCTCCTGGGTAGCGACAGAATCACCGACTGTCGACTCTGAATCGACGACGTCCATGTCGGGAATGTGTATTGAACGATCACCTGTAGGCACATTTAGAGGAGTCGCTTTTGTTGGGAGTGTCCCTGTTCTCCTTTGCTGCTGGAGTTCCTTGCCAGCTCACCCATTTGCCCAAGAAGCATATGGTCATTATTGTGAATAACCATGAATAACCTGAATGCAGACCGTACAGAATCTGTGGCATCCAGAACTGAGCACTGAGCCATAGCCATGCAAAACCCCTCTCCAAGGAGCGCATGGACCACTTGCCTCAACAGCGACGCCAACCGGGACATCAACCGCGATGTCAAGGATCTTGGCATGAGCCCCACGCGCCGGCGGCCTGCAGTGCGTGCGTGAGACGTGCACGCACGAGACGTACAGTCAAAAGAGCCGCCTGGACTCCCCCTGGGCTGCTTGGAGCCCGGCGAAGGGCCGGGTGTGATGATGAGCTGAGGCTTGCACATGAGTGTTTATTGGTGCTGCTTGGTGTTTCCCAAGTTGAAGGCATGTGACGAAGTCTACATCTTGTAGAAGGCAATGGGGTAGAATGCCAACGAGCCAGATGAAAGTCATGAGTAGATGGCACCCACCCCAAGGCCCCAAAAAGGTGATGTCCATCCCAATCCGTCTATAGGGGTTTGTACCATCTACTCAGCACTACAGTCCCGAAGCCGTATCGCGCATTCATCCGGCAGCCGGAGGGGGGGTCGTCAGGCAAGGGGGCGCGAGTAATTCGTGGCACGGAATTGAACTAGCGACTCTATGGGCTGACTCCGGCCCAGGAAACCTCACTGAGTCACAGGGCGCACGCGTGCGCGAGCTGCCCGCCCAGTGTCGGCAGAGACAAAACGGAGTGGTTGCCGTCAGAATTCCTAAGAATCTACGAGGAGCTTAGGGCATGTAGCTGGTGGAAGCATGTCCAAACTGAAGCTGCGGTTGATATATCGACTCTTAAAACATGTTTTTCCACGGGTACCACTTGCTGCTGCTAATATTCATGACCTGAAGACCCAACTCCCTGAATACCAAAGCCCACGAGATCCCACCATCCAACTTTGTGGAGGGTGCAGGGTGCACCTGGTACATTAGACCTATCTTCCTATTCTTTGTTTATAATAGCTTCTTGTTACTACTAGTATGGCACTTGTTACTAGAAGCGAGGCACTTGTTACTAGTAGCGTGGCACTTGTTTCTAATATACCCATCTAGGTGCCCCATCGTGTTTGTTCAATCAAGTCGCACTCCATTTGCAAAGGGCATCGCTCCGAATGGAGCCAGAAACCTCAAGGTGCTTGACCCTTCCTCCAACCTTAGGACCTCAGGCCCTGGCCCCTTCCGTGTGACCCACGAACCACCAAGGGCACTCAGCGCGACGCGGGAGCTAGACCGCATGGCGCAAGTGGAGGCCAAGCTGCGGACCGTGGTCGGCGCCAAGAACGAGGCACGCGGTGGTTTCGGTCCACGGGTTACGGCGGTAACGGCTGCTCTTTGGAGCTCGCCGGGGTTCGCGGTGGCCGTCCAAGTTGACCAGATCATCTCCTTTTGGCTCAGTCGGGTGCATGTCTTTTCCTCCAACTTTTGCAGGTCATCGATGAGCTCAAGGCGAACAAGGGGGCTTCGGGCGGCTCGAGCGTAGAAGAAGTTCTTAGAAGAAGTGGTAAGAAGTGTTTTTTTCCAAGAGGGTCTGGTGACATAATGGCTGGTTGTGGAAAGTGTTCTTGTTTTCTTGGGTGGTGCACTTCCATGTATTTTGGAGGGTATGAGTCAAGCTCTTGGGCAGTGTTAAGTGAGCGCACCCCCAGGCTGTGGAAGTTTCAGAAAGAAACGTCTATTGACAACCGGTTGCTTCTACGGGTCAGAGAAGCTCAGTTGGACATAGAACGAAGCAAAACATATAATATTAGAAGACTACTGTAACAGTATATTATCAAAGGCATTTCCACTATGCGCACTTGGCTATGTGTCCATAAAGCACATCACTCTACACATGGCTTTTGACGGGGGTCGGTGGACCGACGGCGGCGGCGTTTCTTGGGGCTTCGACCGCTCCAGGATGAACTGGGCCGCCGTGAGCAGGAGATCCTGGAGGCAAACGGAGCTTCCTGGTGCGACTCGCAGCGGGAAGAGAGTCCCTGGATCCTAAGGTATGAACCTATATATGGTAAAGGGTCATGCCATGCTGATGTGGTAAGGGGTGCTAATCTATGGTATGGTGCCTATCTATTAATCCATGGTAAGGGTTCATGCCGCATGCCCTTATTCTCTTGCGCAAGCACCAGTTATTGCTCTTGATGAAGAAGCCCCTCACACCCGCCATAGGAAGAGGTTTTACCATCCAAATGCAGGAGTGTAGATTCTTCGTGATATTTCGACCCCACATACCTGAAGCGATTGTTCAATCAATCCATGTCTTCAAAGCCTTGATACACTACAGACTGAATATGGCTCCGTGGAAGACAGATGTTTCAGAAAGGAAGTCAGCAGTCCAGCAGAGGAATGTCTCACTCAAGTTTTTTGCCTTTGCTGGGAGGTTGGAAAATTAGAGAGGGAGCAATGTTCAGGATATTTAGGATGATTCTCACTGGCTCACTATGTGTGTGACTTCGATGACCCTCTTTATTCGATCAACCCTTTAACAGGGGCAACAACAATAATTGCCAGTTATTATAGTGAAAACTCCTCAAGAATGCGAGAAAACGGCCAATGTGTTATAGTTTCACAAACTCGATCTGGGATGCTTTCCCTCCAAGAGATGTGCCATCTTCCCAAGCAACGACAGGCCCGTGGCATCCTTCTGGGCTTTGAGGGCCAGCCAGCCACAGTGAGTCGCGGGAAAAGGTGCAGCGCGCGGAGTGCGTGCGGCGTTGTGTGGCCTCAACGCCACCACTCCCAATGAGAGCGAGAGAGAAGAACGGAAGAAGACCACGTGTGTCGGGTTTCCTTTCTTCTTGGCTTTTGTTGACATGGTTTCTTCACGGATATTGAATGAAAGATGGCACAGAAAAGTGTCACAGACTGGACCCTCTTCAGTTTAGAGTTTAGAGGAGCCACGTCGCCGCTCACGTACGGCTGACATGCCTCTCGCCGCTGATTGGGGCTCATGCAGTCACTGGAAAGCAGGTCTTTTCCGGCCGCCGGTGGTGCTGGAGGTTGGAACAGGTCCCGTCCGACGAATCCCCCTTCAAAGTTGATGTTTTCGATACAACAGGTCGGCGCTCAGGGTTGGCCAAATATTTTAAATATGGGACTTGCTTGCCTCCTCACGTGGAGCTACACACTGACACATAGGAGCGGAATCTTTGCATCATGAGACACGCCTTTGTTTTAGCCACGAAACCGATGCACCGCCGGGCGCTTCCATATGGATTGCTGCTCATTGGCCTCGCACATGCGGCGCATGCGCATGCCCCGCGCCGCGGCTCCAAGGACCGAGGGAGGGGAATGAGGATGGCGGATTCCAATCCTTCTCTCCTTCATGAGCACCCCAAGAGGGGTATAGAAGGGGTATAGAATGGAACATTTGGGTAATATAACGACGATTTATACATCATTTCGTCTAACCTCCACATACCTCTACCAAGAGGTCACCACGATTTATATAAGCCTCCTCTCCTCTCCTTTCCGCAGGACCGGATCCTCCGGGCCGAGGTGCCCAGCGACGGGGCGGTGACCCTGGCGGTGACCGCTCCGCGAGCCGCGCCCGAGGCATCAGGCGCCCCAGGAGGGTGGTGGGTCGGGCGGAGTAGGGGAAGGAAGGATGAAGCACCCGGCCCTACTTCAACTGAAGAAGGAGAATCACTGTAGGGCCACACTGTAGGGACATGGTGGGAACACATAGATGGCAAGCCGGACATTCGAAGATCCTGGGGATTGTTCATGGGCATTGGCTGGCGTGTGGTGCCCTTTTGGGGTGCCCTTTTTGGTCCCAGCGACATGCGCGGTTCCTGCTTTCCTCAGGCTCACGGCATCAAGGACTTGCCATCGTGGCGGACGACGGCTTCCGAGTGCCCCTCGGGCCCATCAGCACTGCCAGGGTTGCGCGGCGATCGAACGCTGGGGGGGGGAGTGTGGGGGTGGTGTTTCACTTGCACAAGATTTGCCAGACATGCAGTTTGCCATGTTTAGAAAAGACACATGTTTGCACCACCTGGCGCCTGGCGAAGGGAGGTGTTCTTCAAACTCGCCTGTGAGCGCCTAGCTTAGCTATGGACATGCTATGCATGCTACAGGCACCCCCCGGATCGGCAGAAGGGAAACGAAGAAGCCGAACGAACATCAACCAGCTCCGCCGTCGGCGAAAAGCGCTTGACACCGCTGCACCCAGGAGATATCAACTGCAAATCCAAAGCCTTCGCTGCTACGCCCGGGCGCAAGGCACGTGAACATGTTGCCGCGTGTGGCGTGGGCAGGTTGGAGGCAGTTGATGGGTTTTGTTTTGATGGTGTTTCCGGACTGTCACATGCTAGGCGGTGCGCTGGAGTGATCGGTCCGCTCATCGAAAGTCGAAAAGAAAAAGGCGGACGGTCATTTCCCCCCTATGGAGGGGAAGAAAACATCGATTGCCAGGAGTGTTCATCCAACATCCATCCTTCAGGTCCATCCACCTCCAGTCCTCTCATCTGATGTTCAGGCTATGACTTCTGGCTGCTGCAGGGTAGCGAGTTCCCGGAATGCCAACCGCCACCAGCCAGCAGCAAGCTTTTGGCCCGGGGGACGGGTGAAGGGACTTCGGCTGAAGGCATTGGGTGTCAAAAACTGGAGCTCCAAGGGATAGTGTTACGCGACAGCGCCGTGTGGCGCGAGATGGAGCTCCAAAAGCCCTTGGTTGGTTGAGCGGGCGGTAGGTCGTTCATTCTGTTCGTGTTCTGTTCATGTTTAATGGGTTAACTGGTTTTGACCCTCAGCTGGCCTTTTCTCGAAGACCAAGATGTCATGGTAGTTCGGCGAACGGCTGGCTTGGGGACGGGGAGGGGGGAAAGAGTTGGGGATGGGAGAAATGGATGGGTCAGATGAGAGTCATGTCGGTGAGAGAGCTGCTGGAATTGTCAACAAAGGCAGACCTGCGAGGAAATGCGAGGCCCAGCCGGGGCTCACTGAAGGACCTTTTTCAGAAGGTACGGCGGAAAGACGAAGTGGGTGCGAGCGCCGAAGTGACAGGTATAGCAGTGTGGAGGACTTCTTCTTCCAAAAGCATTGCGCCATCGCCAATCTTCTAGAGCAGCAGGAGGATCGGCACCTCGAATGCAGCAGGGTTTGATATCAGGGGCTGGCTACGGCTACTCTTTCTAGTTGTCACAAGCTGCCTGTGGTTCTCGCAGTGTTTGACATGGCATTTTTGGACACCTTCAAGCTCAGATTTGCCAACCAGGTATGCCTTGGCAGTGCTGGATGCAGATGTGGTTGCGGTGGACTTGGACAGAAGCCTTGACATGTGGATGGGCAGTCAGGGCGACCTGCAGTTCTACAAGAGCCTCTCGGCCAAATTCAGTTTGTGTCGATCTCTGATAACACGACCAAAAAAAGAGTCTCCACAGAATAACACCTCCTTGAAACAAAGAACCTGCAGCTCCTTCTGTTAAGACTGCCAGTGCCGAGAGGCTGATCCCGCGATCGCTTCGACGTCGCCCGTCGCCCGTCGCGGCCGACGTCGCGTCCGTGGCGATGCTTTCGCTGAGGAATCACCGGGGAAGAAGTGATGGCAGGCACAGCAGTGAAGGGAGTGGAGTGGAGTGGTGTGGAGTGATTTTTCGTTGACTCACCGTATGTTTTGGAGGTTCCCCTGTTTATTGACATGCAGACAGGGAATCAAGAACCCTTCAAGATGGAGATGTAACATGCGATTCTTCTGATATAGGGGAATATGATTAGACTGATTCAAGAGCTGTGTGGCTTATTTTGCCCCTTTCGTAGAGGTGCGTTATCATGACCTCCGTATGGAGGAAAATGACTCCATGAGGAGGTGAGGAAGTCAATGCAGCCAGACACACTGAAGCTGCTTAAGCTGGTTTGGGGAGAATACGTCGAAAAGGCCATAGGCCGAAGGCTCCAGTTGACTGGATTGGCATCCAGTCATATCCTACCAGCGCTTGAAGGCAGGGCACCGATCCATCACTGTTGGCCTGTGAGCCGCCATCACTTTGCTTCGGCAGGAGGGTGCGATGAAGCGAGGCTTCGCACCAGAAAAAACGCTTCAAGAGCTGTCCGGAAAGCTTTTGAGAGGAATATCATAGACTATCTATCCTACTTGTGCTCATCGTGTGGCGCCAGGCAACTACATCGCCCGGAACCGGCCTTGGGTGCGGCAGTTCCTTCGCAACTGGGTCACTTGGACAATCTCCCCATGTCGCGCTGATGTCGCGCCGTCGCACCGGTGGGCTGGGCTGGGATCGTCCGAGACTTTGAATAGGCCAGGAGTCACATGGAGGTTGCACTGGTTTCTCTTTTTCCTCTAGGTGAGCAGATGTGCCGGGCACCCCTATCGCTCCAAGCTCGGCACCCCATCCTTGTGACTCCTGGTGTCCAAACAGTTTGTGTCTAAAAGAAACTGGTCACTATGATTGAAATCGATCTTTGGGGCGGCTGAATAGTGACAATGACACGCATCATTGACATCCCGGTCCTCCTCATGGTAGCCTGGTAGTCCTATTGACACTGTCCCGGAATGATCATGGTTACGTGGATGGTATGGCCCGAAAGGATTGCCCAAGACCAAACCAGTGGTGCCGTCCACTTCCATGATGACTTCGGCGTAGTCGGTCCCTGCCTGATGCTCCCTGAGAAGAGGCTTCCTTCAAGTGGCGGAGGCCTCCAGGCTTCAGCAGCGCCGACAACGGCGCGCTACACGTGGCACTCATGGAGGCGGGGACCCCCAAACAGATAGAAACGGTGTCCAATACATTTTGAGAGGGGTTTTACATGGTTTTGCTATATATAGTTTTTCAATTCAATCTATTTGGAGGTCTATGTATGCATTTCCGGCAGATCTTGATTCTCTACCTTGCCGAGCGTCCACCTGTCACAGCCCACTGCGGTGCAGGCGTTAGAACGACCCGAAGCCACTCGAGTGGCAGAGCTCTACGGCAACCTCACAGCCATGGTGGAGGCCCTCCGCGCGAAGCGATGCAGCGCGTGGACAATCCGCAGACCACTCGCGGGCGGAGTGGAATCTGAAAAAGTGCTCGTAGGTCTCGTAGGTCCGATAGGTTGTTGGATATTTTTGCGGGACTTGAAAGGCTCCCTCAGTTCTCAAGTGGTGGTTTTTGATTTGGTGTGGGGGTTTCCCCCATAGAATTCCATGGATTCCATGATGCGTGTGAGCTGCTAGGACTTGACACCCTATTGGCACTTCGTGGAGGACAGATTGGCCGCGTACCGAAGTGGTGGAAGCTGCAAACGCATCCAAACATCTCACGCAGGTCAGGTCCATGTTATGGATCACAGCTTTTGGGCTTTGGCAATGCAACCAAGCAACACAACCAAGAAGACAGCCTATTTCCCAGAGGTCGGCAGGGGGTCCTCAAAGGGTGGACTGCTTCTTTGGATTTGTATGGTCAGTTGAAGCCTTTGGGAGTGCACTTGCAAGGTGACCTTGCAAGTGCTGAACTGCGTTAGTTCTTTAAAAAACAGGATGAACAAGTTGTCCGTAAATGGAAACAACACCAAGGAGATTGTAGCAACTCAGATTCAGTTCTTGACATCAAAACAAGTTGTGTACTTCGTAGACGGGACAACCATTCGAAATGCATTGGTTCCGGGTAATTAATTATACAGGCACATCATGCAATATGTTGCAATATCATTTAATTAAGACTTTCAATGACCAGCGAAACGATCATGAGGAAATCGGCTGACTCTTGACCCAACAGAACATGTGCGATCAACATGTTTGGACCCACAATGTGTGTGTCTTGTTTCACTGGCAGGAAGCGATGGTTTACCTCACCGCCCGTCATTGGCACATGGAAGACACGAAGTTGGGCCATTTGTGCGGCCGGCCTTGCGTGCCTGGTCACACGATCAACACGGTCATAGGATAGCCCGGCAACCGTTGGGCTACCAGATAGGTCTGCAAAAGGATCAAATAGGCAGGGCTTCTTTGCAGCCATTCTTGGATTTCAGATTCAGGTCCCATTCTCATGAGTGTCCCAGACTTCATGTGAAACCGCCCCTGGAAGATCCACCAACCAGTGACGGACATGTCCTCCCCCCGCGGCCGGTGACCCTCTGGGCGTCCAAGCCGGTCGATCTCGTCACGCGAGGTGCTCTCCATTTGGCCTCGGATGAGCTTCTTCGTGGATGACGGGGTCTACCTGAATAGGAGCGGCACGAAGCCTCCAGGGGATCGAACGGATGATCATTGTGGTTTTTGAACTCTGCACACGGGTGTGCCCTTCGTGATCATTTGGTGATCATAAAAAGGGTGATTGAAACTCTAGAAGACCAAACAAAAACCATAAGTTCATCCGAGGTTGAAGTCCAGAGGGATGAGGGTTGGAAACTCCGGTAGAGGCCAACATCCTCCGAATGTTGGGCGCTTGGCGCGTTGGCGATGGGGATTTGGGGAACGAGTGTGACCCTGGGACGTTGTTGTCTTAGCGGGCTGCTACACAGGGCCTTGACGTGCTTGGGCACGCAATGGGTGGCATGGATTCCGCCGGTGTGGCTGAGCCGGTTGGATGGCCAGCCGGCCTTCCCAGTCGATCCGGCAAAAGAATGGGACTTTAGACGGCTGCACTGCGGCAGCTGCAGTGCACGTTGTTTGGAGTCATGGGCCAACGTGGATGGCATGGGCCCCAACAGGAAGGCGATGAAATCCTCATACCAAACAACTGGTGAACACTATCATCATGATTCTTCAACAAGGGAGTGTGGATGGACAAATTCAACTGCTATGTTGGCCTCTCCTTGTAGGCATGGCAGCTCCATTGGACCGGTGATGCACCACGGCATCAAGGAGCGGCGATTGGAGGAGTCATAAGGAATCCATCCGGGACTGGGAGGATTCGCCCACCCAAGATGGCCAAATTTGACCGCTCCCCTTTGAAATATTCGCCTTTTAGGAGCAAAAGGCTCATCCCGTCCAAGACTCTGAGTGCTTCTCACCGGAAACCGCGCGCAAGTTCCGCGGATTCCGCGGTTGCGCTGCGCCCAGTGGTGCTTGCGACACCGCGTGACGAGGACCCGCAGGACCTGCCGCGCTACTTCGCCGACCTCGACGCCTGTCGCGCGAACCGCGGCGCCGATGGCGCGTGGGTCTCGCCGGAGCAGCTGGGACAGGACTGCTCCGGGGGGGGGGCCGCAGTTGGTGGAGAAGAACGCGATATCAAACCAAGCAACAGAAGAAATTCAAGTTTTATAGGAAGATCCAGTGGAAGATGCATAATTATGTCCTTGGCTGAAGGGGTCCCTTCTCACTTCCGTTGGACACAGGATGCACCAAAGTCAACCAGGTCTTTGGCGATGTTCGGTCAGAAGGTCTTTTCTAATACATCGGAACGGAATCTCCGTTTCACCAGTCCCACGCATGTTCCCGTGTTCCCTCATGGCTTCCATGTCCAGATGGAAGGGGGAGTCAGAATGATGGGACTGCCACGTGAGAATGATGTTCGGGAGATGTTGCACGCAAGCCCAAAGCTACTTAGACACTTATAATCCATCTTAGCCCTAATAAGTAGAAAGGAATAGAGGCCATTCCCTGGCGTGATGTCCGTGTTTGGGCATGTCTTGCCATTCTTGGGTCACTCGCACTCCCACACCGACAGGCTTAGGTGGTGAGCCTAATCAGTGGCTTCCTGGGGGGCTGAGAACCGAGACCTCGCAGCCGTTGAGCCGGTTTGACTCAATGGCTCAGCCCAACACTTGGTGGAGCGCTGCCAAGCGCCAACGATCTATGGCAGTTTCAAAGCCCCTGAGTGCACCTACACCTCAGCCATTTTGGTTGTTCATGGTTTCTTTCATGACTGGAGAGCAGATGAATTCAGAAAAGTCTCTAACCAACAAAGGTTCCTGATCGTTCTGACTGTTCTTTTGGAAGTGTTCTTTGTCACGCTCAGTGTGGGGCTTCAGTTCAGCATCAGTGGCTACCTTCTTCGGGAGATTCCACACCTGGAACCTTGCAAGGGCATTTGCGTCAATTTGCAGTGGATGACTGTGGGCGTGTTCACTGGGGAAATCATCAAGGACCTTGCTGAGACCGGAAACATGCGCAAGTGGATATGGCAGGCCACTTATGTGAAATACCTCAAGTGTGAGGGCACTCCCAGCCAGTATGATGAGATGATATGGAAGCAGCCGGAGAAGTCGTTTGGAGCGTTCATTATTCTCTGTAAATTTCTGATCGCACTCTATTTGCTCTTTGTAGGCAACAGGTTCATTCTCAAGTCTGAGAACAACAAAGACCTGGTGCTCAATTGCGTTGCTATGGCTTTCATACTCCAGATTGACGAAATCATCCACAAAGTAGCTTCCAGCAGCATCGCAAAGGACCTGGCCACTCGGTTCTCGTAGGTTCTCTATGTTCTTGCTGAATCTGAAACCTTGAGCTCGTTTGTCAAAGCATCTTCCAGTTTCAGAGCTAGAATCTAGAAGGGGTTGTTGGGAGCGCTGTGCGCCTACCGCTGCCCCAGGTGAAGAAGCTGCAGCCCTGCACCATCGAATGGAAGTTTCGGGAGGCCAAAACTGAAGGCAAGATCTTCGCCCTGGTGGCGAGACCTGCCAGCTGGGTAGCTTTAGTGTGTGCCTTTGTGTCCATCGACAACGACTGCGCCTACAGCCGAGAGCGCAAGTGCTGAGGGTTCGGTCACAAGAACGACAAGGGGGCGACAATGTCCAAGTCTAAAGAAAGCTATTCCAAGGGTGGTTAGCATCATTAGTTAGGTGCAGTCATTGTTAAACATACTTCGAAGGATCAGCAGGTCCGATTCCATACCTTGTCTTTCGCTGCACGAACGCCGAAGTCTTGCCGAGCACCTGACCGTGTTCGGTGTCGTGACCGTCCGAAGATTGCTCCGCAGAGCCTTCAAAGCCGGCGTTGCTCGTCCACCAGCGGTACGAGCGGCTTTGCTGGTTGTGTCTAGGGCCACCTCGTCGACACGAGGTGACCACACGCTGGTGGTGTTTTCGAGCTTGGTTTTCAAGGGAAAAAAGCCGTCCCAGGCACCAGGCCAAACGACGAAGAGATGGACATAAATGGACCATGAGCAAGGGGATTATACCGTACTATATTCGTATGTTAGCCTGTTTGAAGGGAGACAAAGGCACCAGTTGGCGTCGATGGTTTTCCTGCGGAAAGTGGACCTTGATCCCAAGAACGAAGGACTTGAGGTCTACCGGATTTCCCAAGGGTTTCGTGGCGTGATCTTCAAACAAAAGAGGTCCTGTGCTGAAAAGGTTGACTGCACGCATGAAGAACTCGTCAGCTCATTTGGGAACACTAAGTGGCATCGAATGATTTATTGAGTGAGGTGCATGGCTACTTGGGGTTGAACCGAGAGTAACGAAGGAAAAAGGTGTGCGCTCCGTGGTGACATCACAAGAAGGGTTTTGGCTACTTGGGGTGAGTTTTGCCGAAGACATTCAAAAACTGTCCAAGGGTCCGGTTGGTTTTGTTCCTCTATTTAATCGCCGGATATTGCCGGGTTTGTGCATGAACAGATCCAGTCAACTGAGGGCCGAGTATTAGATGTGACCAGATCCGGCTCCCTGGGCTTTAGGCAAAGTGAATTCGACGAGCATGTCGAACAAAATGGAACAATGGAGAATTTGGTCCTGAAAACATCGTCCCAAAAGCCATCCACCACCATGTGATGTGTTCGTCCCAGTATGCTCTTCACTTCCTGCCCCATCCGAATAGCACGCATCTCCGCAGGAAGCCTTGCGCCTGGCAGAGCCTTGGACTGAGCAGACATCTCGGATAGACATCAGGGCACACCTCCGCTGGCAGAAACGTTTTTTGCTCAGTTTAGCAGATGGCACCAATGTATATGAGGATGAGAAAGTGCGGATTGATTGAAGTCCTGGAAGTGAGTTCCTTCCCAATTAGTGGTCCCTTTTTGTTTTGTGTGGAGGCAACTGGGCAACCCACTTCGTTCCGCACCAAGACCGTGCCAAGGAAGGATACCGGGACCTCTACCAGCAGGGTTTCTGCGAACAGTGCGCGCAGCATTGCGCGCGGGTTCTCAGAATGCAGCCGGTGGCTACATATCTGTTTCACCACTGCAAGATGTGGATGTTGGTTGGGGCCACTCGAAAAGAAAGCAGTGTATCAAGGCTTCTTGTTGTCTGTGGGTGTGTTTTGTTTTACTGGTACGGTATTGTTTTGTTTCAGCGAGCTTGTAGTGTGATGTTTCCCTGGAAGGATTCACCTGGTCTTTCAACCCCGAACATCGATTAAACAGTTGACAGAGAGGTTCTCCAACTCTATGTACCAAAACCAAAAAAACTCAAGGTCAATTTGTCCGGTGTTGAAGCTCCATGGACGTCCGTGAGTGCCACAAAGGGAGAAGAAGCTCCTGTGCACAGATCAACGCTTCAATCATCCTTCGATACACGTCCTAAATGTTTGACATGGCAGCATGGCCATGTTTCTATCTCCATTTTTTGGATGGCTCATGGATTGGCTGCTCAGGTGGCCAACGCCACACCCCGAAACCTTCTCATGTTGCAGTGCCACAAGCTCAGGTGGCCAGCTTCACATGCGCTCCACTGGGGTGAATGAAGAAAGGGCCGAGTGCCGGGTCGGTGAGATCGCTGGCGGTTGGAAGCCTTCCGGTTCCTGGAAAGCCTGTGGGGTGTGGGTTCTCCAAACATGATGCAGGGTTTGCGCCTGTGGGCCCCTGGGCCCCTGGGCCTTTCATACGACCTGACGAACAGAGGCTTAAGAGCTTTATCCGAGAGTCCGCCAGCAGAGTCTGAGGTTGGAGCCACGTAGCGTTCAGACAATTGGGAGGGACACGAACATAATTGTTTGAGATCCGGTGGCAAAGAGGATTGAGAGATTGAGCACGGGAATTTATCGTTGACTAGATTCCCTGATGACCTGGGACATGCGATGTTTGTTTCTTTTTCTAAGAAAGGAAGCATCATCAATGTTCCTATTTTGTGTCCATGGTTGTTGGATGTTAGTAGGGATCAGGGTTGAACATGGAGACAAACACCTCCACCAATGATTAGCATGCTTGGCAGTGCCTGACCGTTTGGAGACAGACGATTCGCGACCTTTTTGGCTCCGGCACGCGAAACCAACTAGCCCATCTGAGGCTGCTTGCACACAGCTTTGCATACACATGCATACAGCTTTGCAATTGTGGATGCGGATCCCAACAAGTACCCTGCCAAGTTAACCGGCGCTTGCCGATCAACTCGATCAACCAAGTAGCAGACAGAAGCCACCAACCACTTTGCTGACCGGCCAAGATGCAATTGAATGTGTCGCCTTTCTCACTGGTACGCCGATTGCTGACCAGCATGTTCATCCAGCCAACACTAACAACCGCCCGAGAAGCCTCCACGGGTCACAGATAAACAACCTACCCTAGTCCTTCTTCGATGTTCACTGAGAAGTTGGCGAAACCGAAGTTGTTAGGTTATCCTACGCTGGATCGTTCTGTATGGCCGTTCAGTCAATGAACGCAAGAATAACATACTGCAAACTCAGTTTCCGCATCCCTCGTACAGCGGTAAAACCCCAGCTGCAAAGCTAAACCTCAGCTCTAGTTGAGTCCCTCGACACTCGAAGAAGTTCTGCGGGCATGTGAAGCATACCGTTTGCGCAACAAGATGCCGAGGCGCGTGTTCTACTCGTGTTTCACATTCTACGCAAAAGTGTAGCCCGCAAGAGTTTTTGCTTCATGAAAGCTGCTGAACTGACAAGTCTCACGCTTGTCTTTGCAGATGTCTTGAACATAAACCCACCCATCAACTATCAAAGTAGTAACAAGAAGCTATTAGAAACAAGTGCATCGCTACTAGTAACAAGTGCCTTACTAGTAGTAACAAGAAGCTAGTAGGAGCAAAGGGCCTTACTACTAGGAGCAGCTAACAATCATGACTATGTCGTTCTCCCTCCATGCTCATCAAGAACCATTGGGTTGTCCCACATCACTCCCGCGACCTGGTGACCGGGGAGGATCGTTTCACGTATCATTGCATATCAGCCCAACAACCCTTGTTACTAGTAGCTTCTTGTTGCTAGTAGCAACCTACTTGCGATGGCCTCTACCTTATAGCGCCCTAATGCAGGGCTTCCAAATTGTTTTGTCCTTTTTCCGTTGCGTTCTGGCTGTCCGGGCTGGGGATACCTCAATTCCAGCCTCACAGCAGCCTCTCCCAAAGAATAAAAAACATATTGAAAAAAAAGCGCTGTGAAGAAAACGCCTCGCGGAGGGCTGTTGCTTCGAACCCGCCGAGCCGCAACGAACGCCTCGCGCCGAGCCGCTCTGCCGGAGGCGAAAGCAACGCCTGGTGCCGGTGGGGCCGCCGCCCCAAGCAGCGCCGGAGTCGGAGTACGTCCTGGAACCGGTTTGGATGGCCCAGACGGTTTGGGGAGGTGGGTTCATGGCAGGTGGAGTCGGGAAAGGCCTGAAGTTAGTTGAAAGTGTGGAAAGTGTGTGCCAAAGGGTTCGTGGGTGAGCAGGAACAAGGTTCGCTACTAGGAACAAGTGCATCGCTTCTAGTGACAAGTGCCTTACTAGTAGCAACAAGAAGCTACTAGGAACAAGGTAGTATCAGCACCAAACGACCAAATGGGTTGGCAATGGCTTTCAGTTGTCCAGTTGAGGGAGACTCGATGGGGCTCGGAAACGCTCCGCTGGCTGAAGCGCATGCTCTTCGCCGTGCGCAGACCTTGGTCTATCAATCTTGAAATTCTGGGAAGATAGTTCACCGCCACCTTTGCTGGTAGTCCATTGAATCCATGAGAATTCCAAGTCCAAGCTAGCTGCTAGCTAGACCCAGCATGGCTAGACCGGCAAAACGGAGCAGGAGTTGCTGGCAACTCGAAGTGGACTTTCTAGAAGACCTTAATGCGCTTTGAGGATGTGGGAAGATCCAAAAAGATCCAAATTCCCAGTGACTTTGCGACTCCCCCCACCCACAAATGAATCAAATTATAAAATCAAACGCGTTTCGTTCGACTTTCTTGCCATGTGCGCAGACGGAACGGAGGTCTTCACCGCCGCTTCTTTCGCGACTGGACCGGCGATCCGGAAGTCCTGTCGTCACGGGCCGATCGCCATCCACTCGGTGCTGAGGAGGCCATCGAGTGGGGCGACCTCTACCGGGCCACGAACCGCGACAACACGCCGACGCCGGGGTATTTGTTCAACGACATTGCGCCCAGTTCAGCGGTTTGGGGTGGGGTGGGACCGGTGTTTTTGGCGGAGTTACTGATGATGGTCGACATGGTGGACGGCACGTGTATTTAATTTTTAGAGGTAGGGGAGTGCCCAAGTGCCGTTTGGGGAGGTGCCAGGATCGCACCAACGTGGACAAACACATTGAACAACTACGTGACGGAATACCAAGAATGGTGTTTGTTGCTTGTACGAAGTCACTGCGATTCATTGACTTGTAGCGAATGTTGCAGCGGCTCCTGAGATCTCCTGAGCCATATGGGGCCTGCTTGTTACAGGGCAAATCAGGTTTGAAGGGAGAAGTACGGGGACCCGGTAGCGCCGGATAGAGAGGTTGCTAAGCACTAGGGCCTAGGGTAGGGCAGAGAAAGAGGTCTTTTGTCCGCTACAAAGTGGGTTGGTAAACTTCAGATGTGGGTTGCCCAGAGGGTCCTTCGTTTGGAGATGTTTACAGTTTGCACGTTGCCAGTGAGCATCATGGTGTACATGGGTTAAACTCTTTGAGGTCGGCATGTCTCATTCGATTGAAGCTTGTGAAATCATGTGAATATGATTCACCAGTGCAGCCAAGCTAGAGAACACCTCGTCATACACCGGAACATATTTCCCATACCTATTTTGGGGGGTTGCATGCAGTCACATCGACCCTGGCCAAGATGAGGTTTCATTGCTTAGGGCTTCCCAGCCACCCTGCATGACCCTGCCCTGCCTGCGCCCAGGTGCAAAACGTCTCGAACGCCAGCCCCTCTGCGATCCCCGAGGTGGCACAGTATTTGATCGACTGTGTGAACGGCGATCATGCGTGGCTCGCGACGGGTCAAAGACGCGACGGTTGCGTTGGGACTGTTGGGGACACCAACAGTTTGTTGGAATCGTTGATTTATATATGCTTTTTGGCCTACAATGTGACTGCCTTGGTTGGATCTGGAATCCAAAGATACTCTTCTTGATTTACATTTCCAGTTGACCCCGAAACATGAATTCATTCAGAGATGTTTTCAGTTTCACTTAGTTGGGGTATGTTGGGGTCTCTCATTCTGGAAACTCATCTAATTCTGCAAGTTCCTGTCCACAATGGGTGTTCACCTTGTCCTGCGGATGATCTTGTGCTTGGGACAGGATAACGCGTACTTCCATCATTCACATGAATCAATCCAAGGCACGTCAAGCTCAAGTCACTCTTCGTGATCAAGACGCTCGCATACAGGACTGCTGCCTCACAGCTTCGCTGGCGCCATCACACAGCACAAACAAGTTTGTCGGAGCACAACTTGCAGGGAATCAGTAGAACTATGTCTGAAGAAAGCCTTTCTCTAGATAACATCCTTCCACACTGCCGCACAGAGGCAGCTGCACCATGCGTCTCTCAGGATTCCGCCCTTCCAGCAGGCCTTCTTGAGCCAACCGGACGGCTGGTCCTCCGTCCTGGAGGCCTCCGTCTTCACGGGGCCCCCCTCGCCCATGTTCGGCGATGCCGCTCGGAGACGGCACGTGGTGGGTCGGAGTGGGATGGAGTGGGTGGAAACAGGTCCACTTGGGGTTTGGACAAGCAGCGGAAGCTTTAAAATTATAGGGTCTCAAAAGGCATCCGTTGTTTGAAGTAGAGGGTCAGAGTTCATCATTATAGGGTTGTTGCACCGAACCGGTTTGTTTTGTTGGGGGCAAAACGGTATGGTTCTTAACATACACAACAAACCTCATAAGTGGGGTGTCGCGTGTCTCTATTATATAAGTGGCATTGCATCCTGACAACCATTTTTGGGGGGGATGGCCTCTCAGCGTGGAAACCGCGCTGAAACCGAGGAGCCGTACCGCCTGGTGCGGGAGGCCGCCGAGGGAGCCAAGGAGGCCTTGGAAACCACCGAGTTTTATCACCAGGACCGGGTGGCGTTGGAAACCGCCGTTATCGGGGTGAAATGGAGCATACAGTACACCTAGGACTCCTGGGGAGCTGTTGAACATTGGGACTCCTTTGGAGAGACTGGAGTCTAGTGAAAGGCTGCCTAGAACGAAGGTTGCAGAAATGGCAAGTAGTTGAGAGGTGGTTTAGGTGGCAGGTGGCACTCCAACAGGACATGGAGCTCACAAACCCAGATCAATTCATAGTTGGGAATTGAGAACCTATTTGACCTCGGCAGCTTTGATAGAAAAGCTTTATACAAGAGCATAACCTTCTAAGAAGTGCAGACTGTTGATTCATAAACCCCAAAGCCTGGAGATGTCAAACCATTCTGATAGGGAGGTTTCATTTATCACCAGTCTACTTTTACTTGCCTGGTATTCTGATGCCATGAGAGGGAGGAAACAAAACACATTCCCCAGCAGCCACCATGGGCATGCAAGAGACGTGAGACTCGACCGCGCACCGTCGAACTCCGGCGGTGTGAGACCAGCTCGACCCATCGCAGGAGTACAAGGAGCTCTCGCAGCGCATCGTGGGCTTCGGGAACTATCAGCCTCCTGAGGCTTCACAAAAACATCAGAACAATTGGAAGGGAGTTGGCGTTGGGGACACTCCGAGTGACCAAGCAGTGTTGGTCTGGTTGTTCAGAGATGTTAGGTGAGGAGGGATTTGCATGAGGCTCCCATGGCCATGTTTGTTCGCTCCTTCTAGGCCTGCTTTCACACTACCAACAAGTCTTGAGGGAAAGGGTAGAGGCTTGAAAAACGATAAGTGTTCCCACTCGCAAAGGACAGAGGCTCCTAGGTTGTTGATCCATTCCCCTCCTTCGCATCAGTTATATGTTTGGATATGTTGGGCTTCCCTGTCCTGAGACCAATTGAGAAGTGATTTCAAACATAGTAGGGGCCCCCAGTCCAAATGGTTTAGCTGGGCAGTCTCCGTTCGCCCTTTCAGACTCCCAGTCTTTTGTTCATCCTAGTTTAATCCGACCTACACACGAAGTCACAAGGAATCGGATTCCTTTCCCGGGCACCACCAAGGTCCCGCCCATGTCCTGCCCATGTCCTCGCAGGACACGAAGCTGCCCGATGGCTCCGTGAACGTCGCCAAGGTGCGGAAGGGAAGGGCCTTGCTCCGTCCCGGGAGGCCGACGGCGTCGCACCGGCGTCGCACGGGACACCGTCGGAGTCGCAAGAGTCCTGCGGCAAAGCCTGGAGTCAACTAAGCCAGACCTGGCAGAAGACTTAGCAGTTTCACTTGTTTTGGGCCCACACGACTTTCTAACCCACATGCTCCGCTCCCACCCGACCCCCACCCCCGGGTCCCCACCAAGGACGTGACCTTCGGCGACGTGCTGGGCACCGCGGTGGGCGGCGTGCTGAACGGCGCGGGCGCCATTTTCCAGGGCGTCAAGGCGCAGCGGATGCGGAGCCCACCCGGGCCCACCCGGGCCATCGGGACGGGATCGGAGGGAAGGAAGTCTTCATGTTTTTTTTGATTCTAATAGCTTTTTGTTACTACTCGTACCAGTAAGACACTTGTTACTAGAAGCGAGGCACTTGTTACTAAGTAGCTTATTGTTTTTCATAGTTTTTGTGTTTTTTCTCACTGACTGGGCATAATTAGACCTCAAGAGATTGAAGGGCGGCCAGTGAGAAGCATGCGTAATATTATCCGGTCCATCCTAGATCCATTCCAACATGCTGATTCTGCAAATAGATAGGTGGGTTTCAAGTCCACTCTTCTATAGTTTTTCACGGTCACTGTAAGCTGGATGGGTGTTATCAAGTAGGTGCCCCCCCCCTGGATCAATCGGAACGCCTACCTTCTTTTTGTGCCGCTCCATTCACGCCAGTCACGGGATCGAAGCACTACTTTGCAGACATTGGCCTACTGGGCCTGGAGGGAAAATAGTAAAAGTAGCGCAACGGCCTCTTGCCGCATCTGCCAGGAAACTGTTTCCCACCCGTCCTCTTTGCACCGGCCCCTATCCGGCGCGTCGCTGCTCGCCATCGCCAGGGCCTCTTCGAGACGCACTCGCGGCACGTGTCGGGCTTGGAGCTGGATGGCCTCTTGGCGCTGTGAAGTTCGACCCGATGAGGGAAACCGATGAGGCAATAGTGAGCATAGTGGTCTTGAGAGAGTAGATGGCACCAACAACCAATTACTTTCGTGAAAACCAGCACATCTATTTGCTCTGAACCTGTTTGAAGCTGTGAGAAGGAGGCTTCTTTGGGCACTTCCAGTTTGATGTGGGGTTCCGGATGTTTGTGTTGGTTGCAGGGTCAAGCGGTCAAGCAAACCAGGCCATGACAATCAGAACGACTAGATTGATTACATCCGGTATCTCCGCCTTCAGTCAGGAAATCTTCTCCCCGAAGAGAAGAAGATTTCTCCAGGAACATCGACAGAGATGGATCGCTCGCGATCCTTCTTGTCTTCTTCAACCTCGGTTGCCTTTTTTCGCTTTGTTGGAGAAACATGCATGACTGCATGACAGTGAAATACCATATGCCGTCCCCACATGGAGCACTGCTGCATGGGGCGTGCATGCTGTCCAGGTTTGCCATGTTTTTGCATCGGGAGTTCGGCACCCTTCCGCACCCAGGCATCGGCATGGATGAGCCCGAAGAGGAGGTCGAAGACCCCTACGAGGCGCAGCCGGGAGCTCCTCGTTGTTTGGACGGTGGGATGGACGGTGGGGACCGGGGTGAAGGTGGGACTCCCAGGGTCTGCCAAGAAGATGTATATGGAGAGTATTCATTGGGTGAAGACTGAAGACCATGAAAAGCACAAGAATGCACAAGAGATAGAATTACAGACTAGAGATATAAGAGGCACCCACACAATTTGGACCAAAAGAGGGAGTGGAGTTGTCGCACATTCCTCAGGAGGAGGCTCAGATGCGGATCGAAGAGGAGGATGAATATCATGCTCCCGCCGGAGACTACATCCCCCCCTTGGTGCCCACCGGCCCCACCGACGCCGACGTCGCTGAGCTGAAGTGGTGGTGCCACAGGGAGCTGAACGGAAGGAGTTGGTTCTTCCGCCTTGGTTCTGTTTGCCAATGAATCTTGATAATATAGACTCTAGACATCTCTAGACTCTTGATTAATGAACCCACCCCATTTGGATAAACCTCTTGAAATGGGTGTTTTATTAATCAAGAGTCTACATTAGGCCAGGCCCGCACCGACGTGGAGGTTGCATTTAAAAATTAAACCTTTGACTACAACTAACTGCAAGGAATCATGGTGCCAGCCTTCTTGCAGTTTCGCCTAATTATGCTGCCCATGCTCGGTTCACACTGTGAGTTACTTGTCTTCTTTCCGTTTTTGGTCGTAGAGCATGAGCGTCTCCAGTATGGGGCAAGAGAGCACACCTCGAACTGCGAGAGCTCACCAAAGCACATCTCAGGCTGTCGAGTGTGCTGAAGAGCCGGCTTGCCCATCAGAACCGCAGGCCGGTCAAACACTGGAAAAGTGGTTCCAAACAAACTTGATGTTTCCAATATGTGCTTGTTTGTTTCCAACTTCTGGGCATTCATGTCTATACCCATGGGGTTTGGGCTGCACACCATGTTTTGGAAGCAAGGCACTATGTATATAACGCGGCGCAAACGCAGCGCAACACCAAGCATCGGAGTGTCCGATGGCAACCAACCGCGGTATACGATGGATCCCAATCGCTGCCACGTGTCATCCAAGAAAAGCGTTTCACCATGTTTCACCTAACGTGCCACTCACAAATGTGTGATGCTTTTAGTGATTCACGCTTTCATTAGAAACGACATGGTCCCTGTGTCGGCCGGGTGGTTTCGGGACCATAACACCTCGTGCGGCCGGCCGCGGCCTTGCTGGGCGCCCAGCGAGCCATGATCCATGGTGCTCCACGATCCTCACCAGGTTCAGCCCTCGGTGTCCACCGGCGCCCGCCCTCTTCGATCTCATCGACCGACAGGCGGAGCAGGTGGTTGTTTCTGATCGAGTTGTATTGAAGTTTGCACTTGAAAGAATATCAGGCGATATCAGGTAGCCCATATGTTTGAGCCACCTTCGGTGCCTTCGCTCCAGGCCGCCCCAAAGAGACGCAGAACCCGCGGCCGGCGCGGCTTGCGCCGCGGGCTGTTGAAGAACTGACCGCGTTCGAAAGCAGCGAAGCTTTCGTGGAGCTTTAATGAGTTGGCACTGCTTGAAGTACAGAACCTGCTCACTGGAACTGCAGTTGGTTTCAGAGTGACTAGTCAGAGTCTAGTGACCTGGGGTCAAGGAGACGATTTGTGGGATTGCGCGTCGTGCAACGTGCAACGCTTCGCTCTGAAATCACTGTACAAGCTTCTTTTCCCGGGGGTCGACACCCGCAGAAGCACTATGATCAGGCCGGACGCGATCAAAACTATCAGGACTTGGAGGATTTCACGAACCTCAACTCATTGAGACACATCACCTGTTTCCAAGGTGTTCTTGTTTGTTTCTGTGACATGGCTGAGCAAAATAGGGGTGGTAGAAAACGCAGAGAATTGGATTGCTAGGCATATGGGTTCTCACTCCATTTTTCATAAACGATCATGGCAAAAGACTTGAAATATTCATACATTCCCACGCAAGGACCCCCAAAAGCGTTGCTTTGGGCATGCGGCGTTCGCAGAAAACAACGTCAGTGAAATTCTCTCGGTGTCGACCCGCGTCCGAACATGTTACAGAGACAGGGTGCATCGATCGTGGCCGGAGTGATGCTGAAGAAATCCGGATGTGGAAGCTTGTGGGTCCCAGCATTTGTGTCTTTCGACCTGTGAGGAAGTGGTGACCAGTGGTGCCTCAAAAAGGTGCACAAGGACTGGCAAAAGGGTCTCACCAATCAGAGAGGGCCACCCCTGGATTTGAATTTGGTTCCCCAAGTCGATCCGCAGACATCTTCAGCCGCAGTCGATCCCATTGACTCCGTGCCGCTCCACGAGTCCGGGTCGGAAAAAAGGAACGGCGCGAGGCGGCATGCACGCTGGAAGTGTAGAGGGTTGCTTATTGGATTCAGGAACAGGTCGACGTTCCGACCCTGATTCTTTTTGGGAATGATCTTCATTCTGACCGCCACAGCGCTTCCTATGTATACTTTCACAACCATGTCGAGGCAACCCAGAAAGAGACCATGTCAGCTTTCCAGGATCACCCTCAGGACTGACCGAGATCACATCTTTTTCGCTGCTTCCGGCGCAAGGGCAGGGCGTGGCGCCCTGATTCTGGCTACGATCATTGCTGAAGCCATGACCTTTTGGTTTGGATGCCCAAGCTAACATGGTCTTGATTTTGAACAGTAAAGGACCAACCGTATAATCAATACAGGTGCGTCAGCCGGGGGGTTCACAGCTTCAGCATTGTGTGGGAGTCCTTTGACAATGAATGAGGACTGTTATGGGAGTCCTTTGCTGTGGGCCATCGGCCCCTAAGGCCACTTCGAACAAGAACGTTTGGCGGGCGGGCAAGCCAAATCCAGTAACTTCAGTACACCACACGGTCGCTTAAAAGTTACTTTGGAAGTTGCAAACTGCAAACGAACTTCCCTACCTCCTACAACACAAGTAGCACACACACACACACCAGAAGGACACTAGTCCGGCCACCGCGTCGCTAGCGTCGCTCGGGCCGCACGGCTGCGGCGAAGCTCAGCGAAGCTCATGGGAAAGCGAGGTGGAGCGGGGACGGAGTACAAGGACAAGCCACCCGAAACTTGGAGCTTGTGCTAGCCAGGATATTTGTGTGGTGGAACTGGTGGTTTTGCACATCATCAGTGCAAAAAGACGGAAGAAAGCGAGTGCTTGTTGTCAAACCTGAGGCCCTGGGATAGGGCAGGGTCCAACCTTTCTCCAAGAAACTGGGCGGCGAGAGATGGTGGACCTTTTGGGCAGTGTTTCCTTTGGCGACTGGTCTGGGAAGAGTGATCAGCTGGGAAGAGTTCGCACATGTCTTTCCAAAGCCACTGAGTGACAAGTCATGCTACGTTTCCATCGTTTGCATACTGTCTCCCACGGCGTGGGGTTCCCACCTCCAAGCTCCTTAGCTCCAGCCGAGCCATTCGGTACTGGGGACTTGACGGGGATCCACTGCACTCCCTAAGAAAGTGAGGTGACATTCACCAGCTATATCCAGCTATCAACCAGCTTCCTGCTTCACCCAAAGCAATCTCAGGTGTCATTCCTTTTTCATCCAGGACATCACAGCAGGTCAATGTCATTTACAAATGTCAACGGGGTTGTGGTTAAAATGCCCCCAGGTGCATCAAAAAGGTATGTTTATGTAATAAGTTCAATGATGTTTAATGATAGTTTATTAAGTGAGTTGAATCATACTACTGTTTGCCCCCAAACCTTGCTTCATCCTGAGAATCGTCGTAATGACACCCGGGTCGCTTCCATTCGCTTCCAGTCCAATCTTCGAGGAACAGAAGAAAGATGGAACCGCTGCTTGGGTGGCACCCGGAGTCTTTTTTTATCGGGGAAGTCGTCACGTTTGAGGCGGCTCAATGTCCGCAAAGGCATGGCAGGATAGGAGGATGGATGTCCTTTGTCTGAACGAGGGAAAGGATGTCCCCGAAGCAGATTGCACAAACATGACGTGCATGTTCTTTCCTTTGAAGATGGCTGGAGCATTCCTCGAGTTGCAGCAGACAAGAATAAGAGTAAATATAGGAGCAAGTTGAAGTTGTTGATATTAATGCTGCTCAGAGGCCAGCTATATCGAAAGTTGCTTTGACCGTCATACCGTGGTATCCAAATGCTGATGTCGCGTCGTGGTCGCTGAGGTGGTGAAGTCCTACCAGCGGATGCCCACGCAGATCTTGAATGAGCAACACGCCTCATTTAATTACTTGAAATTAGGGATGCCCTCCTTCAGACCATCAAGGAAGCTGAGCAGCACGGGAGGCTTTTCTCACGAACCCTAAAAGAACCAGAAACCTCCCAAAACTTGGGCGGTCATTGGCTCAAAGACCGGGACCTTTGGTTTTGCGTGATCCGCAGCCAGTGCCGGCTGCCGTTGGTCGTGACCGGCTTTCCTTGGCGACCAACGGCTCAGGTGGTGCCAGGGGCAGAAGCGTCCCAAGCCGGAGTTTCGCGGCGTGCGCTCCTACGATCGGAGCCTCTGTCGCTTCAAGGCGCTTCGCACGGAGCGCGGGGCGCACGGAGCGCGGGGCGCACGCGGTCCGGTCTGGGCATGTTTGTTACGGGAGCGCATGGGAGAACGTAGATCAAGATGTGTAGAGCTTGGTGCGAAGCACGAATCCAGCTTGCTTGGGATGGAAGGTGGTGCTTTAGAGATTGAAATTGGTTGATGGACGAGTGCTTCGCAACATCACCCAAAGAAACCTGCTCTTCAGAGCTGCAAAGTACAAGAAATGATAGGATTCGCTTCCACCCTACAGCATGGTTCTTCAAGGTTTGAGCTTCTTACTTTGGTGCCACCCCTGTAAGTGTATACCTTATAGAGCCCCAGTGTCCCTTTTGTGTTGTGCCAGCCTGGCCGAAGCAGATACAGAGCGCCAAGCTGATGGCCAACGTCACGGGCGACCGACCTGTCCCCACTCTTCCGTGCCGCACAGGTGGTGCTGCCAGATGCCAAGGACGGGACATACAGCGGATCTCATGTGGTAGATATGAAGGATGTGGAAGGGGGGTGCGCCACTTCAGCACCTGAGGGTGTGCTGGTGCGCTGTTAGATGTTGCGCTGGTTTTAGGGGGGGGCCCAGGGTTCAATTCCATCACTAGATGTTTGGAGAAGAGCAATTAGGACTTGTTCTTGCCGATCTTGGCCCTACTGGAGGGAAGAACATCGGGCTGTGATCCGCACCTACTGCGAGTGCTCAGTACTAAGAGGATCAGTGGCATGGATGGGCATGCGTCCAGTGTCAGAGGTGAAGGAATACTTCCAACAGGAATGTGAGTCAAAACCGGGCGACTCTTCTTGACTTCCGAAGGTGAATTCGACTAATAGAATGATATAGAATGAGAATGGTTTCCTGGACATGTGCTTGAAGGCGCTTGCTTCTCCAAGCCTTTTGGCCCAAGCTTGGACGCTGTGGCCCCACCGGTCACGCGCGCGCGCTGGACAGCGCTGGACAGCCCCATATGCGATGGTGATCTTGGACGGCCCGGAGACGTTGACCTCAGAAGATCAACACAGCTGTGAGGAGAATGTCTTGGCCTTCTTCAAGCATCTTGGCTATTTGCCCTGTAAAAAGAGAAGAATGCAGCTTACCACCTTTCTGCTTTGGGTCTCCAATGGAATGCCCTCCCACTACTTGTGGATCTCCATTGGACACCCCTTTGAAGGTCTGTAGGTATACTCCTAACTTCGTTGCTTGGAGGCCTGGTTCGAAAACCGCCCGGGGGACAACCTTCTCCCCAGCGATGACCACGTCGACGGTGAACGACGGACCGGCGGTTCGACCGAGAAGGGACTTCCCATCGACGAAGGAACCGAAGGAAACCATGGGGAGAAACAAGGGCGTCCAAGTTGAAAGGATGACACATGTATCGTGTGACACGTATCACATAGTGGAAGCCTTCATCCGATTAGCATTTGTCGTGATGCTTTTTTGCCGTTGTTATCCACCGAGTGGAGGAAAGGATGCTGAAGAAGACAGGACATGTGACAGAAATGCAATTACACCGAAAAAGCATCCTACACTAGCGCTCTCAAGAGCAAATTTGAGGCCCATCAAATCAAACGAACTCACTTTAAACATTTTTTTGGGGGGTAGATACCGGGTAGAATCGCGTATTCAATAGACCGAGATCATGTTCGACCGAGATCATGTTCGCACATCCTTCGTCCAGCTGGCTTGCCATTTACAGCAGCTCTTTGCAGGAGCTCCTCGCAAAAAAATAAAACAAATATCTCATCATGGCCATTGTTTGTTTGTTTTATTTGTTTATGCGAGGAGCTCCTGCAGAGCTGACGTTGTCGCTCCTTTGTCACCTGAGTCACCTCCGTGCCACACGTGTCACCTCCGTCGATGCGTCCGCTCCAGCGAGGCACGTGTGGCTCAGTGGCGCCCAGGCGGAGATCTGCCTGCAGCGCGAGGCGCACCTCGCGTGGCTGAAGCGAGGCTTCACCTCGCTGCCGCCCAACTTCGCCGGTTTGGACCCCGGGGGGGAAGCCTGATTGGATCTGCTTGGTTTCGGTTGGTTGGTGAGTGGTTTTTTGGGGGTGACAGGAGGGTGGGGAGGGTGCAGAGATGCATTGGTTGGGTGATGTTAGATGGGTAGGGGACGGATAGGGACAGGGACGGGTAGTATGGGCTGGTTGAGTGTGGTAGATGAGATGGTGGACACATGTGGATGGACATGTTCTTTTCGCCACGTCCACGTCCACGTCCGCAGGATGCTTCGCGGCCGTGGTTCGTCTTCTGGATCGCCCATGCGATGGAAGTCTTGGGCGACTTCGATGATCATTGGGCACCCAAGGCCAGGAGACGACTTCCACGAATGGGATGGTGTTAACAGTGGTGTTGCCCTCGGAAGAGACATGGTGTTATTCTTTCATGTTGCGAATGTATGTCGTGTCATGTTCTTTGACTATTGCTTCACTTACACTCAACAAAAATGGAAGTGGAGTTCGCCCTCTGTTTGTATAGAGGAACATTTATTGTCTTTCCAGCGGCCTGGACGTCCACTTCCGTGTGTGTTGCAGGGAGGGTACAGGCTGTTCTATTGTTTTTGCTTGCCGTGTACTTGTCACAATGTACTAAGACTGGGAGCTGTTTTTTGTTCACCACCGGCTTTCGACGCAAGTGCGACGCGACCCTTCTGATTTGCTTGAATGGGGCGTGCATCGATAGCAGCTTCATGTTGCATCGAAAGCTCCGACCCTGAAGGAAGTGCTGGAGAAGGGGCCAAATCCGTTCCGACCCATCACCATTACATGTTTCCTGTTTTATGTTCACCTCGCAGCGTGCCAGGTCGCCTCCTTCCTGAGCCACTGCCAGGAGGGGACGGGACCCAGCTCAAAAATTTGGTCCGCAGTTGCCAGCAAATACATTTGGGTTGGGCTGCTGTTGAAGATGTTTGGTTCTTCAGCTTTTTGGTGCACATCAACACTTTTTTTTTGGAACACATTCTAACCATTCTCCCAAAGTCGTTACACCAGGAGTCACAAAGGGGTGCCGAACTTGGAGGAAGTCGGGGTGCCCCTGTCACATCCACAGCCCCTGGATGGGACCAGCCAAACCACCCAGGCCCTCCATGTGACTCCTGGTAGTCATTGAAGCTGTGTTATTTTTCCAGGACCCCACGGGTGGCTTCGCCGGCGGCCCCTCACAGCTGCCACACTTGGCGCCCACCTACGCGGCGGTCTCCGCGCTCATGGTCGCGGGGACGGAGGAAGCCTACCAGGCGCGACACCTGGAGTCGCCTGGGATGGCCAGTGATTGAGGACGCGACACCTGGTGAGACCGCCCAGGTTCATCTTGATACCAACAGGCGGCGAAAGCCACGTCTTAGAGTCTTGTTTGTTTGGTAAGACGTGGGGCGGCCCAGGGTGGGAAGGATCCAAGTCACAACGTTGTTCTGGGCAAAAAATGACCAGCGTTGTTTGCTGTGCCCATCCCAGGTGGTCGATCGCGCTGCCATGTACGACTTTCTCATGCGGATGAAGAGCCCAGAGGCTTGACGTGAAGAGCCCAAGAAGCTACCAGGAAGACCAGTGGCCACACACGTGGGACTTAGGACATGCACGTCTCATGCAAGACTCCCCGCAAGACTTGTAGTGAGACGAGACACTAATTACCCCCGGCTTTCCCTCGTGTTGCCAAGACTGAGGCACTGAGCCACAAATATACACTCCCTGAAATAATGAAGGGGAACATGACCAGTAAGATGACCATTTTCCTTTACAATCTACCTGCAAACAGGATCAAACATCAGAGGCAAACGGAAGGGAGTGCACAGAAAGGGTTTTGCAAAAACCTATTCTACTAACATCGTGGAAGGCGCGGGACATTCGTAGAACCCAAGGCCATTCGTGGACAGTTCGTGGAATGGTGGGCCAGTAGGAGAACTGACTGCAACGAAATCCCAGAAACCTTCGCAGAACTTCGTGGAAGGTATTTTTTGATGCACTAACTTCGTATAAGCGATTTTTGCTGACCCCCTTTTTCCGCACACCCTCCATTTAGCCTTCAAAACAGGTGGTGCCATCCACTTCCATGATGAACCATCAGGGAGCATAAAGATCACACGGTGGTTGGCCAGCAACGATCTGCCACCCTCCTTCCTCCCTTGGCCGCACTCTGACGCAGCACAGACTCGACGAGGAAGGTGGCTTCAAAATGCACGACGAGGGCGAGACCGACATGCGCGGCTGTTACTGCGCGATCGCTGTGGCCTCCATGTTGCACATCTTGACCGATGAGCTCATGGAGGGCATTCCGGAGTACATTTGCAACTGAGATGAGAGAGGTCAGACATCGGGAGTCGTTTTCTTTTGATTGGTGATATGTTCATGTGCGTGTTTGTGTGTGTTTCCTCCCGGTCCAGGGTGGAAAGAAATCGGAAAGATCTGGTAGTGTAGGGGCAGCTTTGCTTCGGGAAGATCGATTTGCGGAGTAATTGTTTTCAGTTGCCTCAGACAACTGGTTGCCTAGGGACTCCTGGATGGTCCAGACGAATTTGATGAACCCCAGGCCTAGGTTTGGTGGCTGCCCACCCCCACAAATTGCATTTTTTGCATGACGCAATTGAGGGCTGAGAAGATGCGCATCTTTTTTTGAGGGAAGAACGGCTCAATGCAGAAGTTGGAGGGGCGTTCAATCGAATAGGCACCCTGCGAAGTGTTCATCCACTTAGTGCGAAAGACCACCATGGAAGTCTCCATGGCTCAATGGATGTTTGGTGTATTTTGTTTTTCCTTCTTCCAGGGGGTCCATAATTAGGGAGCTCTCCCTATTTTGTGATACACGCCCCACATGCCTTTTGCTTCACAGCGCGCAGTACTTCATCCGCCCATGGGGGCCGCACCGCCCAGGCAGATGTCAGACCTGGGAGGGCGGTATTGCCGGCGAGGAGGGCTTAGCAGCTGAGCAGAGGAAGTCATCAACGTTCAACCCGCTTGCCCACGACAAAACCACAACCAAACCCACGACCCGCCCCAACTTGGAGTTTTTTTGACTTCAGTTGTTTGTTCCCCACATCTTAGTGTGGGGTTCTTCTTTTCTATGTCTCATCCGCCTCCCGGTGCTTCCTCCCGCCCCCTCCCTCCACACCGAGACCACACGTACAGACACCACACATCACGCAGTAAGAGTCTCAATAGCAGCACTTTGTGAACCTCCATGCTCCGTTAGAGGCTCTGGCTGTTGCGTTGTCGGCGGTTGTCTGCGGTTGTCTGCGGTGGTCGCCGGTCCGTCCGTCCATTGTGATTAGAGTTTTCACTTGCTTCTTGACGTGCAGAATTCGTGGCAGGCACAGCACTTTGTGAACCTCCATGTGTAGATTTCGTGGCAGGCACAGCACTTTGTGATCCTCCATGTGCAGATTTCGTGGCAGGCACAGCACTTTGCGACCCTCCATGTGCAGATTTCGTGGCAGGCGCAGCGCTTTGTGAACCTCCATGTGCAGAGTTCGTGGCAGGCGCAGCACTTTGTGAAGCTCCATGCGCAGACTCATATGTGGGGTTATCCGGTCCTTTAATTTGCTTTACGCTCCGTTCGCCGCCTTGTGATGCCTTGTGACTTGTGTGTGTGTTAGACAGTCAGGGTTAAGAGTTGGTTGATTGTTTTTGATGTTTGACCCGCAACCCCCTCAATACAAGAGGCCCACTCACAAGGCAAACACTGGGTGTGTGTGTGTGTGTGCGTGACCCCTGCCCAAGAATGTACTCGGAGACACGCGAGTGAGGAAGCCCATGGTGGATATTCCTACTGTGGCCTTGCGACACTGTGCATTGCAGGGAAAGCAGACGCCCTGGATTTGCATGGCCCCTGGGACATGAATTTTAAAGGGTCCAATATGCAGATTAAGTTTAAAGAGATGGAGAATTTGGATGGTAATTCAGATGATTTGGTAGACACTGCCGTACCTCCTTTCAAAGTCTGATTCTAATGATTTGCATTTGTGTCACCTTTTGGTGTTGCTACCGGACCCCAACTCTGGGAGCTCGAAACGTGGCCGAGCAATCAGAGAGGAAAAGCTAATGATTGGTTGGCACGGCCTCCTGGTTTCGAGACAAGCCCATTAACATTTGGCGACCCTGGCCGAAGCCAAGGGCCTCATTTGCGACACCAAACTATACCTAGATCGACTCATTTGCGCCAAATCTGACTGCTGTTTTGTGTCCTGATGTTTGGACTGAGGCTTCCTGAAGTGGGCCGTGCACAAGCAGATGACCCATGAGGGTGGCTTCCAGGGCAGAGCGAACAAACTGGTGGATTCCTGCTACTCTTTCTGGCAGGGCGCCATCTTCCCCCTGCTGCACGAAGCCTTTCGGCAAGGCGGCAGCGAAAAGGCGCCCTGACCCGCCTGACTGGTGAGTTGAGGGTGTTGGAGTTTGTGGTTGGGACCGTTTAGATAGTAATATACATCTTTACGTTCCCTCATCAACGAGCAAGCCAGATGTGTGTTTCCATGTTTGTTTGCCACATGAACTGGCCAATGGCTGAGGTGCCCTTGCCCAAAGACCACTGCTGGTTTGCCCCGGAGCCACTGCAGATGTACCTCCTCTTGGCGTGTCAACATCCGGCGGGCGGGTTGAGAGACAAGCCCAACAAATCAGCGGATTTCTATCACACCTGCTATGCCTTGAGTGGTATGGCCGTGAGTCAGTATGACGTGTCCAACCACACTCCACTGCTGGGAGATCTCGGCAACTTGTTGGAACGGACGGATGCTCGGTCAGATCAACGCAAAAAAAACCAAGCACCTTAGTATCCAAGGATGCTACTTTTAGCTCCTGGCATTACTACTAGGAACAAGGACGCTACTAGAAACAAGGGCAGGGAAGGGAAGTGTGGCTTCCTCATGTTTCTTCTATTTCCGTCAGGTAATCATGGAGAGCCGAGGAAGACGGCCCACCATAGAGGAAACATTGCCTTTCCAAAGGCCGTTTTGCTACGGTTCCATGATTGTTTGAGGGTGGGTGTGTGGGTGCTTGGTTTCTTTGGAAGAGTGTGCCCCTTTCTGTTTTGTTAGAGTGTTTGGGAGAGTGTTGCACCGGGCCCTCCGAAGCAGTGGGGGTGTTCAAAAGAGTTTGCGGTTCTGTTTTTCCATTTCTCAGAAGGGGTTTGGAGAGCAGGCGTTGCAAATCAAGCTTCCACCCAAAACCGCATGTCAATGAGCAGGACATCTACTACAACGTCCTGCTTGAGAAGGCCAGGCACAGATTTCTGTTGGGGTTTGTCTCACATCAGAAAGAACACCCTTCTCAACTGGAAACTTGGGTTTGCGAAGCTTGAAGTGGATGAACACCTCTTGCCCATCCTCACTTCCCCCCTTCATGTTGGGACCTTGTTTTGCACTCTCTGGGCGAGTGAAACATCCATTTGTGTAGCAAATGGGGAAGAACTACTCCCGTGAGCGAAGCACCAAGAATTACACTCAGACTCACTAACATGGAAGTGGAGTTCACCCCCTTTTTGGTACACGAGAGTAGTCTTCCAAGGGACCATGCCACCATGCCATCCGCGTAACCATGTGATTAAGGCTCAACTCTATGCCACTGCCGCTGGAATCGCTCATCGATGCTCACGTTCACGCAAGACCAGTATCAGACCGGCAAAGCTCAAGAAATCCCAACAGCCGTTCTTAGGACTTCTGGATCGTGGAAGCTCACCACCAGTAAGAAAAACGTTCCAAAATGAAAGTTTGATCCAGGGAAAACGTAAGGTTCTATGAGCCGTTCGCACCTGGAGTTTGGGCTCAGGGGGTGCTTAGCCACTAACGGGTGGCTATAGCACAGGAGATGTGTAAACACATCTTGATGCCCATCCTCCCTGCCGTTCTTGGATGGCCATGGCAGCTGGGAGGCTTTGACGCCCCAACCATTGAGGAGAACCTCACTGAGATGGGCGCAGGCAGCGGTAGGCCGCAGCCGAATGAGACGAACGACCTGGAGAGCGATTCCTGGTGGTTCGAAGGGGTGGTTTGGGGCTTTTGGTGGCGCACCTATGGCCTGAGCGATGAAGCCCCATGGTTTGGAACTCCCGACCTGCCAGGAAGGTTGAGAGTTGATGGTGGATGGGCCGGCTACTTCATGGACGGCATCGGGGTTCAAGCCTTTGGGAGCTGGTGGCCTTGGGTGGCATGCTTCGTCATGATCACCTTCATCACAGGGATTCTCGGCATCCTGACGTACAGCCTCCATACTTTGACTGGCCCTTGCAGGGCATTAGGCAGCGGAGTGCAAGCACTCCTCGGTGTTTGCTGTTGCAGACGACGTGATAGCGTCGAAGCACACCTGCCAAGTGCCCGGCCCTTGATGAGTGACATTGAATGGCATGGACCTCGAACTGGGTGGCCCACGGAGACCAGGTACCTCCAGCAGCGCTTGAAAGGGCGCGGAAGTCGAAGGCGCTTGAACGATGTGGTTGTTCGGCGTGGTGGGCATGTCGCCCGGTTGCTGCAGGAGGAGAGCATGTTGCGGAGGATCGACAGTGACGGCCTTCGCGTGAAGTTCAGCGGAGTTTCAGGATGCACTTCACGGCAGTTCCGCCGTGAACTGGAAGAAGCAGGAGAAGTTCACCTTTGTCGACAACTTGAATGCCGAGCTGAACACACCCTGCACATCCAGGAGTTCGCGGGAGTTGATCATGAAGCACTGTTGGACCTGCACCGCTACGCCCATGGCTCACCACGTTGGCTCATTGGGTTACTGGGACGTGGCCTATGGCGAGCTTTTGGATTGGTGGCCAGGCTCATGCGATGCTGCTGCAGGTTGTGCTGTGCGAGAAAGGCGAACCGAGTCATTCGTGACGAAGATGGCCATGAACGGCTCCTTGACCCCGATTCGGAGTCGGAAGCGGAGGGGGATGAGTCATCATGCCAAGGAGTCCGAATTGGGCTGGTGATTGATGGTGAGATGCGCCCCTTGGCACCTGATGGATGCAGCGACATGGCGACGCAGGAGGAGACGACCCTACTTGATGAGGACATCGAGGTTTCGGATGTACGCCCCCCCTGGTCCTGGTCAGCTAGCACGCATCCCACTTTGTGCACATCATCGACAAGTCTATCAGGGTGCTGCTGCCAAGCGGAAGTGTGGGGTTTTGACATGCCACAAAGCGTCTAAAGGAGCACGCCATGGAGTTCCCCTATGCTACGACCATCTATGTGAACAAGGAAGCACGGGAGCTCGCAAGGACAGCCCGCACCCGAATGGCATGCTGCAAGGCTTCAGGCGGCGATTCACAAGAAGACCACCGAGCCGCAGTCGGAGCCCAGCAATCGAGCAGGCCCAAGAGAGAGTCCCTGAGGAGGCAAGTGAGAGAAGGGCGAGCCAAAGCAAGAAAGAGAGTGGAATGGCGCCTATGAGATCTTCGTCGGTTGACCTGGGGAAGGTGATGATCCCGTCCCCGCCCAGAGGCACGCTAGATCAGGAGGACGTCATGGGCAAGCCCGTCTGGGTGAAGATCAAGCTCAACTACACGGATGAGAAAGCGGTGTGGGTCATGTGCCTGGGGGAGCTGGTGGGCTATATACCTGGCGGAGTCCGAGGAGATCGAAAGCTTGAGATATTCATCAAGTTCCTTGAGGCCACCATCATCGTCGACCCCAAGTACCTGGACGACCTGACGGAGGTGAAGAATGTGGAGGATGTCGAGCCGGAGAAGGCCCAGCACCTCATCAGAGAAGTGCCACAAGATGCAGCGGGGATAGGTCTGGATGTCAAAGGCTACATCGTCCCGGAGCACCTGGTGCAGCGCCTACGTTCCTGGGAAGGTCGGGTTGTTGAGGGTGGAAAGCGATTGAATCAGTCGCAAATTGATCACGCCAAGAAGAACATCTCCAACTTGGTACGCAGGCATTGTGCTGGGTACATCAAAGGTGAGATCTGGCCCAGCTGGCCGGCGGAGGCAGAACTTGGCATGGACCTGCAGGTCCGTGGCCGTACGGAGCATCCACCCCTGGTGACTTCGGAGGAGACGCGGAGAAGATCCCGCAGTAGGAGTCATAGCCTGGCCAGGATCATGAAGGAGGAGGACGAGCGGAAGCAGAGAACAGAGCACGAGGTGGTTGCGGACGCAGAGACCGAGGACCTGACCGGCGAGGGCATCGTGGAGGCTTTTGTCACGGCAACGACCACAGGGCAGACGCACCAAGAGGCCATGGACACGGTTCAGATGATCTTTGAAGCGGACGCTCCGACCATACAGGGAGTGCTGAGGAACTACATCCGCAAGAACTGTGGCAAGCAGAATGAGCAGGTTGAGGTGGCGATCAAGATTCTGAAGGGCACGAACAACCAGAGCACGAGTGTGAGCAAGGACGACAACACCTTACAGGGAGCTCAGTTGGACAGACCCAAGCCTATGGAGAGGAAGCCCACCTCCTTCTCGGACAAGCTTTTCCCACAGCAGTATGGCATCATGAAAGATGATGGGAGCCTCATCCGTCCAGCTGGCAGCCCAGATGGGAAGAACCCCCTGACCGCGAATGACGGCGTGGTGGGACAACTGTTCGGACTTGGTGGGAGGCTGGATGACACTTCGACCCGTGCTGGAGCAGGAGGTGATGACGAAGACGGCCAAATGGGAGCCCGGGTAGTACACGCATTGGAGGGCATCCGGAAGGCAACGGAAGGTGACAAGAAGGGCAGCCCGGGAACAAGGAGCTCCATTGGTTCCGAGGAGAGCTTAGATGTCTACCTTGCACGTGGCTGCAACACGTTGACCGTGGAGGTGTGCCCCGACGTCACCGGCAAGGAGCTCTTCGACGCCTTGAAGAGAGCATGTTCCCACGCCAAGGCAAAGCTGCAGCAGATCGAATGGCCATGCTTGGTGACGAACGGCATAGCTTATGGACTGGCAGCGATGCAACATGGCGGAAAGGATCATACCACTTTGGCTCCATGGCAGCTTAGTGTGGCGCATGCGGTGACGGCCAAGCCAAGAGACTTCGACCAGTACGAGGCCCCGAAGGACGACAAGATTGAGCCCAAGCCGAGATACCCCACACACTTTGCAACATGGCTGAAGCAGGCGCGGAACGAGATCAAGATGTTGGGTTCAGTTTTGGGCCTGGAGCACAAGAAGGAGAGACTCAAGGCCTTGGACCAGATCGAGCGGGCACACGAACAAGACTCAGATGTTTGGCCGGAGAACTACTGCTACAGCTTGTGGGAGGAGCTCAAAGCCGCCTGGGTCGAGGAGTTGAGGGAGAGTCGCAGGCAACTTTGCAGGATCCTGAACACCGACAACCCCCGCAAGGAAGACCTCAAGTTTGTGGCGCTCGCACCTGACAGTGGCTTCCACTTCCCCAGGACCTTCGACCTAGCACACCCTGATGGCTATTACCAGCAGGTATGTGCACCAAGGCAAGCAAGAGCTTTGAAGGGCATCATCTACAGCCAGTTGCACCACAAGCGCCAAGCGCCCAAGGTGGGTGGCGATCAACCTCACCCTGACGGAGACAGCCAAGGAGGTGATGCGGGCGGCGATGAAGATCGAGTTGGCCGAGGACGTGACCGCGCGGGTGACAAGGACAAGAAGAAGAAGGAGAAGGAGCGCGATGAGAAGAAGGCATTCCCTGCTGGCAAGAGGCTTAGACCCAAGGCAGCTGAGTCAGTGAAACACGGACCCAGGACGAAGGAGGGCAAGCCCATTTGTTGGGATGGAGCTACACACATGGGATGCAGCAGGGGCAAGGATTGCAACCACGCCCACCAACCCATCACCACGACGAAGGGGCTGCATTGGACCGTTTTGGCACAGCTGATCCGACGTGGTGGGCTGAAGAGTGGCCCTATGATCCAACCGGGACAAGTTGATGGACGCATCGCTCAACTTCGGACGCAGGCGAAGGCGGAGCATGACGAGAAGGTGAAGGACGGCGTCCAGAAGCAGGGTTGGCTGCCCCCGGAAGAGTATGAGGGGGTCCAATACACTCAGTTGGAGGATGAGCTGAGGGAGCTGACACGTGGCCCAGACGCACATTGGCTCAAGGACCCAATGCTCGAACCCGGGCACAAGGGCTACACGACTTGGGACAGACGAGTCAAACACCCCGAAGCCCTTCGAAGGCTGAAGGTCCTCGAAGAGATGGAGAAGGCGGGGACGTTCGCAAGGCTGAACCAGTGGTCCAGCTACCTTCAGTCTCACGTGCGGGGGAGGATGCTGAATGCAGTCATTGAAAAGCAGGAGATGACGGTCGACGAGGTGCTCCTCGAGGCAACCGAGAAGGGATGCCCAGAACTCGCACAAGAAGCTGAGAAGGTCCTCAATGAGGAGCGTTCAGTGGGTTGGATCGACGATGAGAAGCAGGCCTGGATCAGTGCACCTACCTGGTACAAGGACAAGGGCTATGGTGAGGGCAAGTTCGAATTCCAATGTGGAGACAGGCGCATCAGCTGGCGCTATCTGGACTACAAGGACAAGCTCCCCGTCTCGGACGAGCTGGCCAGTGCGTTGGGGCTACAACCTGGAGAAGATGAAGAGAGGCAATGTCTTGTGCTTCATCCAGCAGCAGGCATCCTATTATGGGAAGGCGACTGGGACCCGGAGCGCAGGCCAACCATCGAGGAGGTCAAGCAGAAAGCGCAATCTTTCAGGGCAGGCCTTTGGGATGAAGCTGCAAGAGCAGTCGCAGAACTAGGTGACCCAGCGCCGTGGATTGGAGCACGTGAAGCTGAAATTCGTGGCTACGCCCATGACTGTCTTCGAGCAAATCATGACAAGGACTACAGGCTCTTCCAGGCCTTCGTGCTGGACGAACTTCGTGAGGTCACACTCCAATGCTGGAGGCTGAATTGCCGCGGACAATTCCAGGTGGACCACCTCGTGGGGAGCCAGCCAGGCAGTGAGGGGCAGATCATCCCATTCCTGATCCATGGTGGTCACATCCGGCTTCTCGTACCGAATGAGAAGGAAGAACCAATCAAGGTGGCGGCTGAGCTAACCCTCAACGGGCAGGTGGACAGAGAATGGCAATGTGAAGGTTGTTGGGAGTTCCTTGCAAATGAGGACACAGCTGCCCCCCTCGTGCCGGGAAAACGACCCAAGTGCCCTAGATGCCTTGACAACAACCCCAAGCAGGGAAAGGGTCAGCCGCAGGTGCCATGGAGCTTCAACGAACACCCGGTGGACACCCAGGAGCTGATCTTGATGGGAGCACGGACGCCCTTGAAACACCGACCTTCGTTCGCCTATGGAGTGAGGGTACAAGAGGTCTTTGCTGGTTCAGGGACGTGGACCCAGGCGATGCGAGAAGCAGGCATGGCGGCCAACGAGCCGGTCGAACTGTTTGGAGACCCCCTTCAAAAGCAGGACAGACGCAGCCACTTCGACTTGAAGGACGAGGCCGTGGCCAACTATTACCTCCAAGCAGCTGCTGAACTCCCGGGACCATCCACAGCGAATGTCTGGGAATTTGGAACTCCCTGCACAAGCTACTGCGACTTCAACATCCTGAATGGAGGAACACGTAGCTTCACTTCGCCTGAAGGGGGCCCAGATCCGACGAAGAGCGAGGAGGAGGGTAACTACTTCTGCGAGCTCACCTGCCGGATGTGTGAGCTGCTCTATGCCCATGACAAGGAGTTCGTGCTCGAGTCCTCGATGCCTTCAGGGAGATATCCCAAGATTTGGGATCAACCAGCCGTTCAAAGGCTACAACAATCGACTGGAGCTCTCATCGTGCCGACCCACTTGTGCGAATGGGGTGCAGCACCCAGCGACAGGCCAGAGATGAGATACAAAAAGGGCCAGTGGAACTTAGTGTCACCTGGCCTATACCTCCACGCATTGTTGTTGTCACGACGCTGCCAGGGCAATCATAGACACATGGATGTCAAGGGCGAGTCGGACATTCCAGGAGTTCCTCGAACCCGTCGCGCACAAGTATACCCTGGACGCCTCTGCAAAGGATGGGCACTCGTGGTGCAGGCGGCCTATGCCGGTTGGGACACAATACAGGTGGCGCAAGCGCTGGAGGTCATACAGAAGGACAATGGCCGAGAAGGGGCACTCCCACACAGAACAGCGAGCAGAGCACAAGACTCGAAAGCCCACCCATCTTCTTCCGCTTCTTCATCAACTATGACGTCGACGTCGGGAAAGACAGATCAGCCAGCTCGCTCGACTTCCTACAGGACAGATGGACACTGCGGTAGTGCAGAGTACTCTGAGTTCCACGGAGGCTCTCAACTTCTTCGTGGGCACCATTGCGGCAGCGTTGGAGAGAGCGAGTTCGCTCACGGAATTCCTGTTCCCCCAGAAGAAGAGCCTTTGGAAGAGGAAGAAGAGGAGGAGGAGACCCTGAGCGACGCCGATCGGCGCATGAACCCGCGAGACGAGGCAGCAGTGATGGCCAGGCTCATCCCGAGAGAGGTGAACCCAGGAGAAGCAGCGGCGCCGGTGCGACCCTACGAGGGAGGCATCAACGTCTTCGGGCCACCACGACCGCTGGAGGGCATCAACGGGCGCTCTGAGGACTGGTGGGACTATCAGGAGGACACGCTCTTCCTTGTTCGCCATCATGTGATGCCCAGGAGATCTATGTTTGGGTCGCACTATGGTGATTGGGTGGACTGCCCAGTGTCAGACCACCTGATCCGTAGTGATCGCCGGACCTGGATGTACCCCCAGAGGCGGGACCTCTCGGAGGCCGTTCCGCAGGAAAGGGTGTTCTTGGACAACTGGAGAGTTGACCTCGCAAGGTTGCGTGACATCCCGGATGCAATTGAGGCCGAGTATGCCGACTGGACTGGTGCCACCACGTTCTACCTCTATGACCCGGAGATCAGACCGGAGCTGGGGAGGCGCTTCGGGCACGGGCAAGAAGAAGGGGAAGGTGAAGATCCTGATTCCGAAGTTGATGGGGGGCTTCAACCGGTGCTCCCAGAAGGGCGTGACATGGCGCCGGCATTCAGGTCACCTCGAGAGTTTCAACCCCCCACGAGGGAGGTGGAAGCAGCGAGGAGGTACTATCCAGGCGGGGGTGTTTGGGACCCGTGGCATGGTGGACGCATTGAGGAGGAGGAATCGAATGCCGAGCAAGCCGTGGGGGAAGCAGGGAGCTCCGATGACCGGCGACAGCGCTCAAGATCCAGGTCCAGGGGCTTCGCCCCTTCGAGGGGTGACGATGGCTCGGACAGGAGGGTAGGCTACCTAGCCGCTTCTCAAGTACTGGAGTATGAGGAGGCGCAAACTTGTGGATGGTTGGGTCACTGCCTCGAGCCCGACGAGCAATGCCAGGTTGGCTACATGGACGACCAGAACTTGATGGAGGAGCCGCGCGGTGAAGTGCTTGATCGAGCCCTGAAGTACATGGAACACTGCAAGAACCACCCAAAGTATGACACCCAGGTGATCAGGACAGCAGTCGCCCTCGGTGACGACCTTCTGAGATCAGCAGGCACCTTGGAAAGGGCAATGCAAGGTCTTCGTGAAGCAAGGCGTCGAACCATTGGGGTCCCTACGGCAGGCGCCACTACGAATGAGGTGCTGGAATGCTTGGATGCCAATCACGCGGACTACCTCAAGGCCATGAACGCAGGGGGTGTTCGCACACGCAGGTATTATCCGCCCAGGAGGCTTAAAGCAGAGCCGTATCCCTCCGCTGTGGACAACATCGAGGAGATGTACCAGAAGGCCTGGAAAGATGGTCATTGGGGCATCGTGCTCTTCGCCTCCGACAAGACGGAAGAATGTACCCGGAACCTCATCGAATGCCCGCAAGGACGAGTCCCGAAGCAGTTACCTGATCGGAGCATCAGCACTGAAGGTCGCCCGATCCACGCCATGATGACTGCAAACGCGGCCACCCACAAATTCCAACACCCGCCAGCCGTGCAGCCGCGCCATCGCCAGATTGCCAGGAAGGCGATCTGGTGGGGAGCCCGCCACCCTGGGATCAGGTGCCTCATCGCCAAGCTGGACGTGAGCAGGGCATTCAAATGGCATGATGTTGCTCCAGAGGACACCTCGGACTTTGGGAGCGCACTTCCTGGAGGCCCAGTTGGAGTTGAAGGGAGGGTGAAGATGATCTACGGAGGTCTCCCCTTCGGCTGGTGCGGAGCTCCCGGAGAATACATGGCCTTCGCACTGGCAGGAAGAGCGTACCACGAGAACTTCAAGCCCGCGGATGAGCAGGTCAATGGTCCGACTCCGTTCTCCTCTGAATGGCTGATGGACGATAGTGTCATTGTTGAGCCCATGGTGGGGGTGCGGCCCTGGCAAGCCGTGGATTCCTTGGGGCATGCGATCGAGAAGATTTGGGGCCAGGCGGCGCTGAACCTGGAGAAGCAGATTGAGGAGGGCACCCCGGCAACAGAACAGATCGTATGGGGCCTGTTCATGAACGTGGAGAGCATGACGATCAGACTGCCCGAGCCCAAAGCCTTGAAGATGAGATACCTTTTGGCGCTCCCGGAATTGCAATTCGGTGGACGTGAAGTTCACCTCAAAGTTGCTCAGGAGCTAAGGGGACTGGGTCAGTATGCCGCCATTACAATCCCACCTTTGAGGACTGAGCTCAGCGTCATCGATCTCTTCCTATGCCCCAGCAAGTGCGAGGGAGGCTACATCCGGCCGAACGTGAACGACGAGGACGCAGCGGCCCGAGCCTGGCGGTGCTGGGACGAGATGCTGGCATTGCTGAGGCTGTGGTTTGAGACACCCTATGAGGGCACCTTCGAGTCCACCATGGAGAGCATGCTGACCACGAGAGAGCTCCTAGCACTCCCTGGCATGCGAGAAAGGCTACGTTGGGTGGGAGGCGACGCCACTCCAGAGGTGGCGGGAGCTCTTGATTGGAAGGCAAAGCACTACATGCGCGAGGACGCCAAGGAGATGCTCAAAGCGCTTGGGAAGGTGCCCGAATTGGCTGAGGAGCCGGAGATGAAGATCGCCATTGCTGAACTCCTCTGCTACGCTGGACTTGCTGCTGCTGAAAGCCATGGATGGCACGGCGAACTCGTCGCCTATGCAACGGACAATCAAAATGTCCGCTCCTGGCTCACAAAACGGCAATCGAAGTGTGCTATCGCACGCCACATCATCCGCATCCTGGGGATGTTGGAAGTTCGCTACCACTTCAAGACGGTGGCATTCTACATCAGGACCTACCACAATGTCACCGCCGACTGGTTGAGCAGAGAGACCAAGAAGGTCGTTGAAGACAAGATGGAGCTGGACGGTTGGACCAAGGTCGACGTGAAGGAGGACTGGGGGCACTACATCGACGAGTCCGTGGCGGGCATCTTCAGGTGGCCGGGTGGCGAAGCACTCGGGAGTTTGACCCAAGCGGTGGATGTGGTGCACAAGCCCTATTGCCCAATTGTAGCAGCTGGCTGCGCCGTGGAGTTGGGCCGAGGCAGGTTGCCCTGGGCGATCGCGTGGGATCGACTGGGAGGTCAGGTCTGCAAGGTCGGTCAGCAAGGCACACCCATGGAGGAGAAGCTCGAGGAACTGAACCTCAAGGGCAGCACCACGCTGACAGATGAGACGGACTTGGTGTGGGTGTTCGCTTCAGTCGCTGAAGACAGCTGGGGTGGCAGTCGGACCTACATCAAGCAGTTTGTTAAGAAGCACCTCCCGGCAAATGTGCTGATTGACATTGCAAAGGGCGGACCAGTTGAGGAGATTAAGACCGATTTGGTGAGGCTGAGCTACATCGTGCACACCTTCGACTGCCTGACCACTCACTATGGAGACCCGGTGGCGAAGAGGAAAGTCATTGTCCTTGGAAGCCGCGTGCGGAAAGGTGAGACCATTCAGGGAGCCTCCATGCCTCCAAGGAGCGCAGCTGAGCCTGCTAGTATTCAGAGAACGCTGGACCCTGCGGCATGTTCAGTGAAACCTCAGTGGCTCGACCCGGGCACGGTGGTGAACGTGAACCACAAAATCTCCACGTCAGGAGACCGCATGCTCCCGTGGCCGGCAGGGCACTTCGCTAGCAGCCAAGATGGAGAGGCCAAGGAGCTTATCTACGACATCCGTGGGCCTGCGTTAACTTGTAGGAGGGGCAAGTCCATGGTTGTGCTTGATCATCGAGGCGCAGAAGTGCAAGCAAGGCGGCTTGGAGCAGAAGAAGAGTGGCTCCTCAATGGTGGGCGCCTCGAAGACGTTCACATGCTGCGAGAGCTCGGGACGAAGCAGGACTTCTTCAAGAAGGACGCGGCCATGAAGTTCCCACAGCAGAGTGCCCACAGGCTGGTCGCTTGGTTTGAGCGTTGGAGGCAAGATCGGCCAGAAGCGGACCCAGCAGGACAAGAACGTGTAGGAGTGTGCTTCGACGCTGACAGGGCCAGGGCCGATGAGCAGGTGAAGGCATGGATGAGGGCCTGGCAAGGGGATCATCAGAACCCTAGAGCCAGCTATGAGAGATGGATGGCAACCCAGCGGCAAGACCCGGAGGCCCTCGAAAAGATCGGAGGACGCAGGCAGACTGGGTTGAAGAGAGCGAAGTCCGCCCCTCCTGACCGTCTGGTGCTTCCAAGCGCGATTGGACGAGGTCGAGAACGACTTCAGCTGGATGCAAATCAGGAACTTCAACGCGACCGGGCATGGCTGGATGCATTGGCGGCTGAGGCGGTGATGTCCAAGCTCTCGGAGGGCACGCGTGCGGGCTACGAGGTCGGGTGGAAGCAGTGGTGTCTCTGGCGTCGCATGGGCAACAAGGGCGTCTACCTCGTCGGGGAGACCAAGGACGAGAGGAAGGCCGATGAGGATGAGCTTCTGCGATTCATGACCTACCTGGCCCACGTCATGGGGAGGACAGAGGGCACCGTGAAGCAAAGGCCCTTTGCTATCAAGATGGGCCATCTAGTGGCTGGACACGATGACCCCACCTTGAACCGGGTCCGCATCTGGGCAGCGCTGAATGGCTTCAAGCGATGGCAACCAGAGACGAAGCGCAAGTATCCGGTGCTCCCTGGCATGCTCGTCTGGATCCACCGCCATCTGCGCTCTTGCGACACTCTGAGCAAGGGTGATCAAGTGATCCTCTGGGCTGCCATTATGGTGGGGTTCTTCTTCCTGCTGCGGGCCTCAGAGTTCTTAGTCACGGTCGGCCGATCGTGGGGCAGCACACGCACCCTGAAGGGCAGCGACATCGAGGCGCGCAAGGACAACATGCAGGTGACGAACTTCCACCAGGCGGAGGAGGTGGTGATCTACCTTAAAGGATCTAAGACAGACCAATATAACCAAGGCACAGTGCGCAACCAGTTCAAGAGTGGCAACGAGCTGTGCGTGGTCAGCGCCCTCGCGGACTACCAGAACATCAAGCCTGAACGTTTTGCAGGAGCAGAAGAAAATCAGCCCCTGTTCAGGTTCGAGGATGGCAAGCCGTTGCAGCGCGGGGACATTCAGAACCTGATCCAGCTGGCAGCGGTGGCAGATGGACAATCTACGACCCGGTATGGCTCGCACAGCCTCCGTATTGGAGGAGCAACAGCAATGTATCAGACCACGAAGGACTTGGACGTGGTCAAAAGATTTGGGAGATGGAATTCAGATGCATTCCATGGCTATCTTTGGGAGTCGCATGAGCGCCAGAGGGACCTCGCGAAGGGCATGGCTGGTGCAGATGGTCAACTTCTTGCACCAAGGAAGAACAAGGGCTATGAGGCGGCGCCCCGACACCAAGAGAAGCCAAAACAAAGGATTGCTGACACGCCTACAGGACTACAAAGCTCCATGAAGGTGGGATCAATGGGCAGCGTGAGCGAGGACTACGCCTTAGGCAACTTAACGAAGATCACGGAGGGCATGGCTATGACACCTCGAATGGCAAGACAACGACCCACGTGGAGCTCTATGGCGAGATCAGCTTCGGATGGAAAGCGCGGCCAAAAAGGCTACGAAGCACAAACTCAGACTTCGGCTTGACGGCAAAAGATGCTACTGTGCTTTCCAGTGTTTGCGAGAAGATCTGAGAACATGAAAGTTTGATCCAGGGAAAACGTAAGGTTCTATGAGCCGTTCGCACCTGGAGTTTGGGCTCAGGGGGTGCTTAGCCACTCCCTACCCGCCCTCCCGTGGCCAAAAAGGCTACGAAGCACAAACTCAGACTTCGGCTTGACGGCAAAAGATGCTACTGTGCTTTCCAGTGCTTGCGAGAAGATCTGAGAACCAACTGGTGTCAGAAAATGCAACCTGGAAGATGCTGCCTCCAAGAGGGTCTTGGTGATTCCTGTGGAATTGGATACCTGTGTAACTCTTTACTGCTTTACATTACTTTACTCTGTTCATGTGTCCTACATCAGTTCCTCACCCATCCCAACCTCACAAACTTACCCCAGAACGGAGGCCAACGTCGCCTGCGTCCCATCTCACCGGTGAGGCCGAGCGGAAGTGCACCTTCTTCGAGGCCCTGCCGCCGCTCGCCGTGCCGGGCCGCGAGGGCGTGGGCGCTGTGCGGTGGCGGCAGCACGTGGCCAGCCTCAGCGCGGTGGAGGTGGGGACGATGGGCGTGGAAGTTGGAACTGGTGGGGTTCGAGTCCATGGTGAGCAGGGTCTAGATCTCACGTTTTGGGGGGGGGAAAGGGGGTAGGGTGATGAGAACATACATGGAAAACACTTCAGGGTGTCAGGCCTTGCCGGCTTTTCCCGCCATTGTCTCCAACGAAGGTGGAAGCTTCACCACCCCATCAAGCGGCCACCGGCGGCTACGGCGGAACGGCGTCGCCCTCTGCGCGGGACCAAACGATGTAGACTTCTGCGGAAAGGGCGCTGATTCCCCAAGTGGTCGAAGCGGATTCTTGAGCTTGGAAAAGGACCATTCTTGCTGAAAGTCGTGCTTCCAGACTGAGGGAAACCACTCCACCCTGGCAGCCCCAAACAAAAAGCATGTTTAAGCATATGTATGCAGTGGATCATTCCTAAGTGTCAGACACTTTGTGCTTTGTGCAGGAGGTCTTCAACAAACAAACTTTCCAATCCCACCAGTCCTTTTGCTATGTTAGGCACTCCTCCTATGGCGATTTTGTGCCGAAAGCTTCCGGAGTTGTTGGGTTGCCATGACTTGTCACTCAGGATACAGCTTGGAAGTTTGGAGCCCCTGCGGTCGAAGAAAAAGAAAGAGCCAAAAGCGGCGCCAGCGAAACAGGGCAACAAAAGATTATCTACTGCATGTGGGGGGGCAGGTGTTTTTTGCAGGGAGGAGGAGAAGATGAAAGGTCAAATTTGAGATGTTGAAATGGATATCTAACTCTAGTTGCGAGCGAATGGCATCATCATTGCACTCATCATCACTCATCTATTTTTCTGCAAAGCAATGATCTTGAAGTAACACACTATCTCACAGACCAGCCCGTATGGAAAGACCTCAGATCGGCTTGGAACTTGTCAACCTTTTGAATCATGTCAACTCTCCTCTAGCCTACGCAGCTAGTAACCCACTTTGACACACCCCCAAGACACCCTCGCGACGGTCTTCTTTTGCTCTAACTAGTCTACTACTCCACCAGCTCCCCACCACGAAGCCGTCGTCTCCGCCGTCTCGTCTCGTCTCCGGTCTCCGTCCAAGAGGACGTTTCCAAGTCCTTGGAGTTCGAAGCGAACCGCGACGCGGAGACGCCCTTCGCCGCGCGCGAGGAGGTGCGGCTGGTTGTTTTGGTGGGAGGGGTGGGGGGAGGGATTCGCAGTCAGGAGTGAGGGTTTGGTCGAAGGGAATAGGATTTTCAGGCGTTTGCCTCATTTGCATGGCTTCAGGCACCCTTGGAGTTCTGCGTAGTTGTTTGTATCGCCCAGCTCAGGAATATGAGAGATCAAATGGAGTTACGTTACTGTCCAGCTTTTTCACACGATCCTCCCCCAAAAAATGAAACAAGAGCCGGTGGCGAAATAATTCAGGACCCGCACGAAAAGCCGGTGAAGACCGTCACCTCGCCTGGTTTCATGTCCTCACAGTGTCCTTTCATGTCCCTTGTGTGTCAGCCATGTCCGTCCCTGCTGTCCCACCGCTACCACCTCTCAGGCTGCGCTTGTGGCACTGCTGAAGCTTTGCTCCGATCTGCCGCTGGAGAGGAAACTGCCGGATGGATATCGAGAGACCTGGTTGGAAGCCATTGGTAGCTTGGTGGATGTCGGATGGCTCGGAGATGCTTGGAAACACCCCGTGAAGCCTATGATGCATTGGGGTGGACAAATTGACACACAGCTGAATAAGCTGATCATAGCTGAGATATCTTTGCAGTACCCAAGTTCTGTGCAGTGTAGATGCAGATGGAACACATCTTCCCCCGTGTGCCCCATTTTCAGTGCAACATTCAGTTGACGAAAGCGATTGCTCCCCAGAAGCCAAAACTTCTCCGCAACCCAGCGGATTGCAACTTTGGTGCTCGCCATTTTGGAGATGTGCTGATTAGATCCCGAGGGTTAGTGTCATTAGCACGCTATGATGCCCCCCTGTCAGCATGAGCAAAAGGAAAACACAAGCAGTTTGAGTCCCCAAGTTTGCTAACAGATGGTGTTCCTTCAATGAGAACCTTCAAAGGCTTAGTTTTGGGCAACGAAGCTCAGCTGAGGTGAAGCAACAGCGCCGAAAGCCAAGCCAAAGAAACCTGTCTGAGGAGAAGGATTCATGTTAGGGTTGCACTGGTTGAACCCCAAAAGTAATCTCATGTAAGCTCTACCAACAGCTCTACAAACATGTCATGCGAAGTCAACCCCCCTGGAACATCAGGGATACATTGTTTGACGGGTTGCGTATGGGGGGGGCCAAACAATGTGTTTGAAACGAGGATTGGGGGGTGAACCTAGTGAGCTGAGACGGAGAAGGTCCAGTTTTTGTTCCGCTTCTTGTTACTAGTAGCGATGGCCTCCACGTAGTAGCGATGGCCTCCACCTAGTAGCCTTGTTACTAGAATTTGGTCATTGTTCCCTTTCTGACACCTGGTTCAAGCATTGCGCATTGCCATCACGTGGGCGGAAGCAGCCCACCGCCTGCGCGTCGCTGCGTGGAGCGATGGTGCTTCCCATCCCCAATGTGCCCATGCCCGATGGCCCCCTACCGGACGAATGTCAACCCAACGTGCCTTCGGTCGTCTCGCAGCTACTCCCGGACCTTTTCGGGGGTAGCGGCTTCAGGGGGGTTTTGGGTGGGATGATCGGGGCGGGGCCGGGATCGCATCGCGCACGGCTCGCTAGACTTCCCCCGGCTCAATCTGCTTGTCTACCTAGGCCCTAGGGCCCTAGGCGCAGGCGGAACTCCCAACATCTTCCCAACTAACAACACCGACTCGCCGAGGATGGAAGAGGGGGTCGGCAGGTCTGTTTTTTTAAAGGGTGGAGCACATACCATCCTGAGGAAAAGTGCATCGCCAGCAAAACCCTTTTAGATGTTTGTTGGGTGATTGGTTTTTAACCACTGAGACAGATCACTAAAAGCGAACAGGAGGAACAAGGTTAAGCGGAGGAAACGCCTCGGGAGGTCAGCAATACGATGGTCTCGACCCGTTTTCGGCCTGCCGAACTCCAAAACGGACGCCCAGCTCGACCCCACTGGCCGCTCCGGGACGCCGAAAGCACCGACCACGGCGGGCATGTGGAAACCGGTGGGCACCGGTGGAATTGTTTTTCTTAGATTCCCGAACCTGGGTGAATCTCCGAAGATCTCCGAACCTGGGGAATAGACATGAATAGACTTCCCGAACCAGCCCTTACGGACCTCATTTGACGGGATCAGAGGACACCAGTAAGGAAACATGAGGTCAAGGACTAAGTTTCACTTGGCCTGACTGGACTTGTCAGGCGACAGGTCGTTGTTGCACCTCCACGGTCCCACAAGGTGGAACGGGTCGAATCAGGATGTCTGGAATTCAACAGGTCGAAGCTCCGAGACGACGACGTCCCTCTTTTGAGGGAGACGATGGTTTTCGAGATGTATTGGGGGTGAGACGGTGCCAGCGTCAGAGGTGTTTGATGGTATTTGGGTTTGCTGGAGTTTGAAGAAAAGGTGTGGTCATTGCAACTGACCCCAGAAGGGGGGGTTTGCCTAAAGCCATCAGAAACCATCCATTCTGTCCAATCAATCCTGCTAAAACGTCGGATTTGGGGTGTTTTTGTTGCTCCAACGGTGGGTGCTGTGTTTTCGCAGTAGCTCCAGGTCCGACGCCTCAAGTACTCCATCCTCGCGATGATCTTCTTCGCCATCGGTCGGGCGGCATGCGCCGTGGCGCTGGGCGCGGTGTCCTTCGACTTCTTCGCGTTGCTGAACATCTTCCTGAGCATCACCATGGGCACCTTCATGCTGAAGGTACGTTACGTAGAAGAGAGATGATGGGCATCCAAAAGACACCGGTGGCAGTGAGGTTTCAGTGACAACTTCAATGGGAAAGCGGATGAAAAAGATTGGTTCAGTTGGTGGTTTGTCGGAAACGCAGTGAGTGCCCATAGTGTTCGTTTTCGCAGTCCTGCCCACCCGCAGGTTTGGAATGAGAAATGTGCAGGCCTTTGCTCAAGTGGCCTTTCAGGGTTGTGATGTGTTCAACCACTTAGTTACGTTTGATTTGGGGATATGTTCCATCATCCATGTTTTCTTCACATGACTGTGCTTTCTGTTCAACTGAACCTTCGACGGCTACTTAATTTACTCCCCGGTCCCCTGCAGAGGACCACATTAGATGGTCTTGCACGGGTCAATTCTCAGGTTCCCCGCACGCTTTTGTTTCCGGAACCTCCGCAGGATGATGAGCATTTGCAGAGGTTCTACGAGTGCTTGGCCCAGACGATTTGCCAAGCACCCTACAGCTGGCACAGCAACATTTTCTTTTTAACAGCACGTGGCGCTCCAAACGCTGTCAAATCTTTGTTGGATTTTGTTATCCCACTGCCAAAAGCCAAGACAGAGAGAGAGAGAGAGAGACGGAAGGGGGACGAGACAGGCAGCGAGAGAGATGTCCAAGGGTCAAACACATGTTCCAACTGTAGTAATGCGATTCACCCAAGACAAACTGTTTTGCTGAAAAGATTGAAGCCAAGAAAGATGCTTTAGAAAACGAATTTTCCTGCTGGTTCGGCAGTCCCGGATTCCTTCCCGGATTCCACCTTCCAGGGATCAAGAAAGCCTCCACGGCAGGCTGACAGGCTGGATCAGCTGCCCGGCAGTCTGCCCAGCCTCTCAGGTGTGTGCGGATGCCGGTCAGGGAGGAATGCAATGCTTGATCCCCTTTATGATCATGACCCTGCTGAATGTGTTGATTGATGCTCGATCCCAGAGAAGTGCGGCAGGGCCAGGGGTTGAGCTGGGCGTCAGTTGGCGGTGTGTCATGCATCATCGGAGCTCATACCTGTACCATCCAATGGGTGTCCAATGAAGAACCGGGTAGTCCATTGGACACCTTTTGGATGGTCCGCGGTAGATGCTCATAGGTTTTGGGACCCTACTCTGTGGGATGTTGGTCCCTTCAGACCACGTGTTGTTTTCTGGGACTGTGGAATGTGACCGTCGTGGCGACCAGTGGCGTTCAACGACTCCGGCAGAATTCAGCTCAGCTACCACAAACCCAAAAGGTGGAATCATTCTAATCATTCATCCATTTGCACCAGAGCCCTGATAAGAACAAGAAATAACAAGAATATATAGTGCAAGAATGCACGAGTGATTGCACCAGACTGGTTCGGTGATTTTACGCCTTCGGAAAGCCATCTAAATGCAGATGCATGCCCTTGGGATTCCCAAACTAACCTCATTTAATGTCCTTAGGCATATATCGAGTGACGCACTCCTGGACTCCTCATTAGTTGGCACCGGTCCCTCCTACCGACCAGTCGCGTCCACCAGTCGCGTCGAGGACTTCTTTCAGCGCATGCCCTTCCTCTCCATCATGCCCTATGGCCTTTTCCTCGCTGGATCCGAGCTTTCGCAGGCCTGTGCGGCGCCTGGGCGGCAGCCTGCAAGGGTCCGAAGGGCCTGTCCAGGGGGCTCCAAAAAGGAATCCCAGCCAAATACATCGTTGGCCGCTACCATCCACGAGTTGGCTGAGTGTCCCGGTCACTACAAAGTCATGTTTGGGTGGAAGAGTCCAAGAGTCACCAACCCAACATGCGTGCAAGCGATATGCGTCCAATCCACCGTGTCTTGTACGCCAACCGTGGGTGCCGTTGAGGTGAGACATGCTACGCGATCTCCACGCCGATGCGTCCGCGCGCACAGCGCAGAACGCCGATGTTGTGTTTGTTCGAGGTCTACTTTGCTTGCTCCATCTACCAGCAGATCCGTGTCCCGCCACTGGGTCGGTGATTGAATTGGCGGTGGAACAGTGTTAAAAACTGTTTTCAGTGGGCTGCGCGGATCGGCAGTGGTTGGGTAGAACGGATCTTCACTACTCGTCGTGAATAGTTCTGTTTGAAAAAAAGCGTCGTTTTGTTAATTCACTGCGCTCGCCTAAGCTATATGACACTACAATTCTTACTCATTGCTTTGGCCTAGTGCAAGAGAGAAACAGACAGACCCAGCCAGACTGAATTCTTCATTTTGGGGGATCGCTCTGAAGCGGAGGCCCGGTGGCATGGAGATGGGTTTGAGCGGCGGCTACAACTACGACCGGGTGCAGCGGAGCGACGCGCCGGCGCAGCAGGGCTTCCACGACGCGCGGGCGGAGAGCACGCAGCCGGGCCACTTCGCCATCTTCCAGGGCGGCTCGGTTTGGGCGGGAGGGTCTGGTGGGTACGGGTTTGCGGTGGCTTTGCGGGTGGGGGGCACGGGGAGACTCCGTGGGTGGGTCGAATTTTATGGGTAGAAGAAAGAGTACGCTTTCAGATGACCAAGATGGAAACCTATGGAAACCTGGCCCTTTTGTGAGATAGTCAACATAATAAGTAGGCAAGATAGGAGAAGAAACATTAGGTAAACTGATCAACTCTGAATTTCAAGAATAGTTCATGGTCATTTCGAGTCTTTTTTCATTCATACCGATAGGACCTGGCACCGGGGGGAGTCCTTTAAACGACCTGGTACCCGGGGTCCTTTCACAGCGCTGTTGCTCCTGTCGTTGCTGAATCGTCCCCAAGGACAGGGCCAAAGATTGGGCTCCTGAGATGGGCGAGCGAAGCACCGAAGAAGGGGGTTGAAGCCACGGTGGGACGCCTAGGGCGGCTCGCCATGTGGCAGACATGAAGAAAAGGGACCTGGCCTTACTACTAGGAGCAAGGACGCTACTAGGGGCTCCTGGCCTTACTACGAGGAACAAGAAGCTGCAGTAGAAGATCACACCCCCTTGAGGGACACACTGACGCAAAGATACACGAGACTTGACAATATCCCGACAAACATTAACATAGTAGGAAGATTGAAGATTCGTTGCGGTTGCTGATCACTTCCCTGGAAGTTGGCCTCAACCCAAGTTTTAGGTTTGTACGCAGGAAGTTAGAGCTGTGAGAGCCGCAGACGACGGCAGCAGCGCTAAACAGATCCAATTCGACAATAGACCCTGAGTTCAACACAAGCGGCGCACGCGGAAAACACCGGGAGCTGCGCACGCCGGTCGAAGAGACTTGTGCACGTCTTGCGTCGATGAGACTTTCGCACGGTCAAAGACGAGGTTGCAGGTTCGTCCCGTCGAGGCCTATAGACACGAGTGTGGCCTGGAATGCGTGCGTGTGTTGTACTTGTGTCGGTACGTCACACACCGCTAAGTGGCCAAGAATGGGCTACAACTTGTGGCCCATGACCCATGACCGCTAAGGAGCAAGGCCGCTGCGAAGCCCAAGGCGGCCACCGGAACGGTGACGGGGAAAGAAGCTGCGGAGCAGGAGAAGAAGGAGGCCAGGAAGCTGCGTCCATCCCAGGGCTCAGTGGGAAGTGTCGGGCGCCTTGCATGGGATCGACTGCTGTGCTCCAATCCTATCCTGGGGAGCTTTGCCCCAAAAAGAGTTGGTAGGATTTGCAGAATGCTGCGGAGGATCTGCTGGGGTCCACTCTCCGATGTCGAATCCAATGAATGTGCTATGTTTCGAAGTGGCGTGTAGTGTTGTGCAGCATAGTGAGTCCAAAAAAATCCGATGTGAATGCACCACTCTCAGGGAGAACCAGGGTGAAAGCCAGAGAGGGATTTGTACTTGTACAAGGGATTGGCCTTCCAAGGGGTCCCTGATCGGGGTCCATGTGGGGGAAAGCATTGCCCATCGGGAATCTTATATATGTGAGCTTACGGAGCAGGTCAGAAACTCTTAAGCGGTAGGAAAGTACAGACTTCGGCTTGCCCTCTTGCCAACACACGTGGAAGGGACACGAGTAGACAACATGTCCATCCCAACAGCATGGGGAAGATGTGGCGCCTTTCCAACGATCACCACATGCGCATACATCCTCGTAAGCGTCCAAACCACTCAAGAGACTCAAGAGAAAAGGCATCAAAAGGAACTGAGGAGCAACCCGACCAAAGAACCTTCTGAGAAAAGCGTCGTGCAGCACATCGCGAAGCGAAGGCATTGGCCCGAAAAGCCCAAGAAGAACAGCTGCAAGAGCTGAAGGAGGACACGAAAGGGCCTTGGTCCCGGGCAATTAAAGAAACCTTTCCTGGGATACTGTTGAGGGGAGAGGTTTCCTCATCCTTCCTGAGTTTTGACCTCCGACTCATGTTGCATTGGGAAGTTAGATGTTTGTTTGTGCTGGCGTTCTAGCAACCCTTCCGACCCTTCCCCCAAAAAAAACGGAAGAAAGACCAAGCCCACAAGTTCAGCTCCTAGGCGCTAGCCCTGCCTAGCCCTGCAGGTCAAGTCTGGTGCAGTAGAATTGGTAGAACGAGGTGTTCGTTGGGGCAAGTTCAAGTTGTTCATGTTTGACTCTGCTTGACTTGATTTGACTTGTAAGTTTTGGTGTTAAAGCCACTGAACTGCCACGGCACTCCTAGGAGCCTTCGAAGATTTGCTTCGAGTGGCAGCGCAGCGGCCGCTGCCGCCGACCTGGTTGCAGGCACAGCTGGGGTAGCTGATCTTGGTCAGTGACTGAGAGACGATGACTGCGATTCCAAAAGAAGCACCCATTTTGGATTGGTCGAGTCTGCGGTGCTTTGTAAATGTTTAAGCATGGCTGGACCCTTTTCATAGGGCCATGTTCTGATTCCATGAATGCTGGGGAACCTGAGAGAGGCCTCGCACAAGTGCGCGGGGGCTCCAAGTAGAGCAGAGCACCGCTCAAGTAAGACGGCACTCAACGTGCTTGCGACGGTTCTCGCATGGCTCTGACGAACGATGCTTCTGCAGGTTCGACCATCCGCCGGCGACCGTCACCGAAGCCCACGACGCCACCGTCGCGGAGGTCCAGGAGGATGCTGGAGAAGCTGGCAACGCAGGAGGCATTTTGGGGCGGATCGGTGGGTGGTAATTTGAGATTGCAGCATGCTCATGCAATCTGCAGATGAAAACCGGATCAGAAAACCATCGAAAGGTATTTGATGATCTTTGATGCTTGGGTCAGATGCTCGAATGAAAGTATACCCTAGGATTCGATCACACCATCTTTTTAAGGGTCGTTAGCAAAGACATCATTGTTTACCTACAGGATTTAAGACTACAAATTGACAAAACCAGGTCAACCATGGTCATGGTCAACCATTCCTTTAAATGTCCTTTCCAAGGCTCTTATTATAGGGCATATGTTTCAGGTTCAGCTCCTGACTGCGGGTGGCCGAGCCGGTCATAAGGCACCAGATCACACCATGTCATAAACACCCGCCGTGACAGAGTATCGCTGCGTGACAGAGTATCGCTGCTTCTTCAGGTTGGAGCCGCGCACCTTTGGGTGGCTTGGCAGACGTACCGGGCGGGACGAAGGACCGGCGAGCGGGAGCATCCAAACAGACTGAAAGTGGATGGCCAGGCCAGTGAGAAGACCATGTTCCGAACATCTCACGCCAGATGTTCTGGCTCAACATTCAGGTGATTGCCGGCGATATCTTCCAAGCAACCTTATTGTGGGCTACAACTCATTCTCGCCATGAACACTCAGGTGACCTCGGCAGAAAGGCTTTCCACAGCCTACTCCATCCTAGCTCAAAGGCCCAACACAGGTCCACGAACTCCCCCGGTGAGGCCTGAAACGGCTGCCCCGCCGGTCCGCTGAGGTGCCGTGCACGGACACATGTCTCGGGCCGAGAAGGAGCGCGAGCGGCGCGAGAAGAAGGCCTGGTCGGGGATGGGTTAGAGGGCACTCTCTGCATGAACTGCCTCCTCCAGCAGTTGAAATTCTTGTTTTTTGGCAGGAGGCGTGGGCGCAAGAGAAGAACAAAAGGGAAGCCATCCGAGACCTGAAGCGGTTCCTCGACTTGAACTGCATTGACGCTCAGGCTCAGGCTCATTGGTTCATGGAAATTAGCCCTTCATGGTGCGCCTACCCTATGTGCGTATATAATATATATGTGCATCATCTCATCTGGTCACCAAAAAGGATCATGTGAACAGGACACCGAAGGTCCAGGACGTTTCTGGCCAATGTGGTTCGGTGTCCTCCCCCGAGGCTGGCCAATATGAAGGCGCGTATCATTTTGGCCAGGCCGCGCAGGGACGCGATTTTAGGAGCGGCGTACGAACTCGCATCTTGGCGGTGCCTGGCTTATCTGCAAACCGTGATCTAGAGTGTTCAAAGCGCAAAGGATAGTGAAACCTTGACTCTGATAGACTCATAGCCTCCCGGCAAACATGATATACGACATACTTATACAGTACATCAGTACATGAATCACTCTCCGTTTCGGATCCTTTTTTCTGGCGCACCGGCCGGACGGAGGCGGATGCGCGAGCTGATCTTCAAGTCCTTGGATTTGGGTGCGGAGCTTCGGACGAGCCAACGACTCGGTCCGTCGATGCGGCGCTGGAGGGTCCGTCGGTTGGGTTTGCCCCGCTATGGAACTATGCCAGGTGACTAGCTGAAGAGTCGCTTCCACTCTCTCAGACCTTAAAGAATAGAGCTCCAAAGTAAGTACCAAATCAAGAAAAGAAAGGTAGCGTGTATTGGCATTCCCTAGCCACCCTACTGGGCGAATCCACAGCCACAGCCATCCGAATCCACAGCCACCCTACTGTTCACCGTGAACGGGGCCCCAACCTGGCGGACTGCAGACACTAAGGAGTTTTCTTCTTCGGTCGGCGAGGCCGAAGAGTTGACGGCACCGTGGCCAAAGCGAGGCAAAAAACGAACAACTCCTTGGCCCTAGGAGCAAAGGGCATCGCTACTAGGAGCAAGGACGCTACTAGGGGCTCCTGGCCTTACTACTACTACTACTACTAGGAACAAGAAGCTACTAGTAGGTCTTTGATCGCTACTAGTAGCTATTTGCTAGTTACTACTAGCATTGGGCTCCAACCCACTAGCAATGGGCTCCAACCTAATCGGAAAACCGCTAGGGAGCGTGAGCGTCCTTTTTGGAGTGGCGCCGGGTGCATCCCTGGTCATCCAAGGGCGAACAATTTTTGGAAGAGACCTACCGTCACATCTAATTTACATTCTAATATTCTATTCACCTATAGTCAAGGATGTGAAGGGTAGCTATTTTGACGGTGAAGAATTCCCGAACTAAAACTTCCAAGACTTGGACTCAAAGACTTTGCAGCGGTTCATGGAATCGAGGAAGGGAACGACAAAGGGCATTCCCTGCCATGGACAATTCCCTCCGAAGGATGCGGATTGAATCGAAGCCACGACAAAGCACAAACATGGGAGAACAGGAGAAGTATCAAGCCACTAGTCATGGCCAAGATGAAGATCCTCCAAAAACTAAACATTCTTCGGGGTGGCCACCACCTTTTTGGGGCCCTAGGTCCCAATGTGACCCACCACTTAGATCCACTTAGATCCACCGCGGCTTGCTCAAGGACATCGAGGCAGCTGCCTTGCACCAACTCACCGAGCTGGGCTTCGAGTTCACCGCAGCGCAGCGCGCGCTGCTGGCGCACCGCGACGCGCGCGAGAACGGTGAGACGAGCACCGAGACGAGCACCGCGGAGCTGGCAGAGCCAAGGCGGTGATGAGCCAGGCTGCGTTGGGTGAGTGTTTCGTCTCAGGTGACAAATCCAAAGGTTCAGACGTTTCGATTGGAATGCCTGAGGTGACTCTCTAAGGGAGCTCAGCTTTTGAAGATGAGAACGTCACAGCCAGAATTTGTGGTTTGCAAAGGGTTCCAGCTGGGGTATGCTGGGGTTGCCATTTACTCCGATATGCCAACTCTAACATTGTAGCCTTTCCTCAACGTAACAATCACCTAGCACCTGAAAGAGTTGTGACTCTTCCTTCAAAAATTCCCGGAAACTTCCACCAGAACGATCCTGCCAAGTTTGGGCACAGACTTCCGGAGGATCCCCAAGACGGAAAGAAGGAACGCGTTCCATTGTTCCATTTCTTTTTCGGGGAGACTCAGGGATCACATTGGTTCTCCACGTTCTTCAAACGATCGTGTTTGATGGCGCCCAGGAAAAGTTGCGAGTGTGGCTTTGCTTGCACCTGCCAGAGGACAGCATAGTAACAGGTTCAAAGATTGGGTGTGTGTTTGTACGTCGGGGATCTCAAGCTTCCACTTCAGTGAATCTTCCTTAGAGTTTAACGATTCGATTGAACCTTAAAAACCTCTCAGCGCGTCCTTTTGGAACCGTTTCTGCCCTAGAAATCGAATCTCTCGGGTGGTCAAACCCGCTGCCTTTCAAGGCTTCGACCAGTTGACGAAGCCGTTGCAGGAGGAAATCCCCGAGGCCTTTGCGCCTCACCGTGGGCAGTTCGAGGTCCACCGCCCCGCAGCGAAGCCGCTGCCGGCGGTGGTGACACCGGAGGAGGAGTTCTTTGGATGGATGAGAGAGGCCATGGAGAAGCATTTGGAGGCCAGTGCTTGAGGGAAAAATGCTGGTTCATGAAAATTCGCTGGTTGATGTTGAGCTGTTGAGCTATTGGAGTTGTACATGTTGTACTGGGTTGGTGGGATTTCGGGCTGGTTGGCTGAATGTCTTATGCGAAAGGAGGCCATACAGGAATGGGATGGAAGGGGTATCTTTTTGGATGTTCATGGCGAGGGTTGTTGGCGAGGAGGGAAGAAAGAGGATGAACTCTCGAGTTCAACTTACTTCCATTGTCCATGCAGTCGAAAATATAGTCACGAAAGCTAGCATGCTAGCTGAGTTCTTCTTTGCTTTAGCAATGTTGTGGTGGGAGGGGCTGCGTGCCTTAAAGATTGATATATCAAGCTAACCCCCCCCCCCCCGCGGTTCAACTCCCAGCTGCGCCGTGTAGGGGGTTGGTTGAACGTGTGAACGTGGTTGGTTGGGTGCAACGGTGGCTTGGTGTAAAGGGTGCTGCTGCTGCTGCCGCTCTGCTGCTTGCTGCTGCTGTTTGCTGCTGCCGCTGGTTGCCGCTTTTGTAGCTGCTGCTTTGCTACTTGTTGCGGCTTGGTGCTGCTGCTGCTGTTGCTGACGACGCCGCTGCTACTGCTGCTTGCTGCTTGCTGCTTGCTGCCGGTGGTGCTTGCTGCCGGTGGTGCTGCTGCTGCTGCGGCTTGATGCTGCGCTGCTGCTGCGTGGTGCTGCTGGTTGGTGGTTGCTGCTGGCTGCTGGCTGCAGGCGGCTGCTGCTGCTGCTGGCTGCTGCTTGCTGCATAGGACTTGTACTTCACCGTTACAAGTTGTTTACCCCTATTTCTAACCTAATGCATGCATAAGCGGGTGGTAAATTTACCCCCCAGGCTTGCTATAACCATACACCGGCTATTTCCTCAAGACACTCTATTCTTGATACCTTTTACCAGTGCTTATCCTACACTACGGACGCCCTAGTGTAT